AAGCAAAAAATCTGGGCTAACCAGTATAGTGACTTAAGGGTGTTACTGCCTTTACACAAACAGGAAACTGTATCTGTACAAATTGATCATGGATCAATCACATTAAATGCCAAACATTCAGTGAAACTATCAATGGACAATTGCCTTTATAACTTTCAAGTCAATCTATATTGAGTCAAATTCACAGTCAGCCTCAAATTTGCTTAAGTACATGTCAACAGTCCGTCACCTCCATGCCTCCAATAGTGATTCAGCCTGGAGGTTATATGATGAGCAGTTTAGGAAGTTGCGTGAGGTATCAGACCTGCCTTGGCAACAACCCCTCAATGAGTTAATCATAAGAGTAACAACAATGTCAAAATCACATACTGTAGAAGCACAAATTTTCGTGGGGATAAAATTTCGTTGATTTGTAATCAAAACCAGTTTCGTGGGCATTTAATTCGTTGTTTTGAGAGTATGCCTATACAATATATAGTCAATTAAAAATTTTGTGTGGGATTTAATTTCGTTGATAATTGATAACAACGAAATAAACGAAATTTAATCCCCCACGAATATTTGTGCTTTTACAGTAATCAAACATCTCCATGCAACAGAACATCAAGCAATCAGTCCTTTCGGGGACAAATCAGGTTTATTCATGTGGAAAGTGTTTTCCATCTAACTAGTCAACATTTTACTGTGTTCCTTTATTATTAACACCATGGGAAAGATATAAATTTTGTGAATTCAGAAGATATCAGAATACTAGAAGAAAACATTGCCATTTTCAGAACTCTTAGGAAACTCCACATTAAACTCTATAGAACAAATAAAACACCTTGCATACTGAAATAAATGCCAACAAGGAGTTCTCTTACCAAAGATATTAAGAGCCAAAATCATCCTACAAATCCCAGACAGCAATGTCACATTCCTCCTAAAATAGGAGGACGCACACGAGAATTTCAGTAGAAGTACCAGCCAACAAACTAAAATTTCAGAATCCCTCACAATCTACATCCACACAAACTGTCTGCTCTGATAAGCTCTCACCAGGTTTATAGCATAGATCAATCACAATTTATTGAATTTATGGACTATTTAATTAATCTCACTACACAGACATTCAATGTATTCTACGTTATGTTATGTATAAGAAGAATATGAGTGCTGCTGACAGGGATAACCAGATAATCAAGTATCCAGTCTTTAAAGGGAAAACTATCAAATAGTGGAAGAAAATGTTCTTTCACTTGCAGCTGATGATGTAAGTTTTGAATGCGTATAACTACCAAAAATCCCACCATGAAAACAACTACCGGAAGATCGACAACTAAGGAAAGACTCATAACTACCAATACACTCTTTACAAGGAAGACTGCAAGAAATATCAGAAAAATCCTGTCCTTCAAAGAGTGTTCAGTAGGGAAATTGTCCGTCATAATTAAATCAAAACACAGGAAATCTCTTAGAATAAAGTATTGTATTTTTCACAAAAATAAACTGATTAAAATCATCTTTACGCAAGTTCTGTGGTCGCTACAATGACCTTGTCGGCAAATACAATATTCCATTAAGTCAAATGCTGACTAACGTTTTTCATACTTGTTAGACCATTTTTTACACAGCGAACTGACTACCGTTTCTTCCGTCCCCCCCCCCCCCCCACCAAATTAAGACAAAGAGAACACGGCAGGTGCGACCTGTCGGCAGGGGATGCTTACTCCTCCATGGCACCTGATCCCACCTCTAACACTTTAGAGGTCCGTGCTTGCTCTACTTTGTATATGTATATTTGTTTTATGGACTTTCGAGACGAATAACAGTTCGTTAGTGTCATTTTTCATAGGTTTATTCAAAAAAAAGCATCTTTTGTATCCATTGATTCTTTGTCGTTGGTGCTTGCATGAAAATTGTAACACTGGCTTAACTTTCATTTTATTTGAGAATTTCTGTTTACAATTCTGTTCTTTTCTAAACTGAGAATAAATACCAGTATAATGATTTAAAAAAAACCCACTGCAATCTGAAATATGACAGGTATTTGTAAATCCTGATGAATTTTTTGATGTCTGTAGTTGCAATAAGTATTTTTCATGGATCAATCATATTTTACAGCAGGCGATTCTTAGTTAATTAGATCTGCAAGTTAATTACTGTTTATTTATGAATGAAGAATTTTACAACTATTTTGTGGAAAATCGGGAATAATAAAAGCCTCCCTTGTCTATTTTAATGCAATTAAAAAGAAAAAAATAAAATGCATCATTCTTTTTTTCTTTTTTTTTTTTTGTTGAGAAAATTGGCCCAAGAACCTAAGAATTAATTTTATTTGGCTTACTTATGATCTATTACAGGGAACGTTAAAACATGGTATGGGCGGTTTGATATTTTAATTGGAAAACTTGCAAAGGAGACAAGAAGATCTAAAAGGCAAAGGTTTGAAAATGATGTTGATGTAGGTGCAACTGTAGTTCCAGAGAATTTGGATGCAGATTCATCGGATGAAGATTCCACGCACAATACTCTCTCTCAGATAGAAGTGAAGTCTGATGACCTTAAAAAATATTTGTCGCAATTGTTTTCTCAAACTATTGTTTTTTCTTTTTATGAGAAAAAATGTCACCCATTTCTAAGTCTTGTGCCATCCATTGCAGTGAGCAAGACCATTTTTATGATTCTCATCAGGACCTGAATCTTGCAAGTAAAGAGATGCCATTATTTTATTTAGATAAAACCTTGAGATTGCCCACAGTGATTGCTACCTGGTTAGTGTTAAACTACAAGCACCTGTTATCAGGTGTAACAGAGGACATGGAAAAAGAGGGGAAGTTTGGGTTCCATTCTCAGGTTTTACCTGAAAGTTTGAGCCTTTATAAAAATGAAATTGAAATGGGTCTGACAGTTAAACCTAAAACATTTCAATTTATGGTTGATAATTACATGTATATAAATATAAGAAATAAAATATCATTATTTTAGAGTTTCATTGGGATGTGACTTGAAGTAATCTACTATAACACCCTTCGGGCTTTATAGAATTTGATCACGTGACCCACTTCATGTCACATCCCAATGAAACTCTAAAAATGATATCTTATTTCTTAAATAAATGCCAACAACGAGTTCTCAAACCAAAGACATTAAGAGCCAGAATCATCCTACAAATCCCAGACAGCAATGTCACATTCCTCCTAAAATAGGAGGAAGCACACTAGAATTTCATCAGAAGTACCAGCCAACAAACTAAAATTTCAGGATCCCTCACAATCTACATCCACACAAACTGTCTGCTTTGATGAGCTCTCACCAGGTTTATAGCATAGATCAATCACAATTTATGGACTATTTAATTAATCTCACTACACAGACATTCAGTGTATTCTATGTTAAGAAGAATATGGATGCTGCTGACAATGATGACCAGATGAGCAAGTATCCAGCCTTTAAAGGGAGAACTATGAAATAGTGGAAGAAAGTGTTCTTTCACTAGCAGATGATGTCAGTTTTGAATGCGCATAACTACCAAAAATCCTACCATGAAAACAACTACTGCAAGATCGACAACTAAGGAGAGACTCACAATTACCAATACACTCTTTACAAGGAAGACTGCAAGAAATATCAGAAAAATCCTGTCCTTCAAAGAGTGTTCAGTAGGGAAATTGTCCGTCATAATTAAATCAAAACACAGGAAATCTATTAGAATAAAGCGTTATTAAAGTTGTTTAATGATTATTAATTTACATTGTATTCTCCTGTATTTGCTTTTTCTTTGTTTGTTTATGTTTCTTCCGATGGAAGACCTAACTTAGGGTTCTCCCTTTAGCCTCGAGCCTCTCATAAATCACAGAGGATCAAAATTTGCAGACGTTTTAATTCCAAATGCAACTGCATGGTACAGCAGTGCAAGTATGCACATACATGCTCTGTACCAAGCTGTTCTGACAAACACCCTGCTACAGAACATGCTATATTAAAATCATATAAAGAGACCATCTGATCTTATCCTCTCTGCCAGGAGGAGGAATGTTCCAAAGACCCCAATGGAAATTTTATCACTGAGAGAATTAAAAATGGTTTTGATATTATTGACCCAACCTTATCCCCAATAACAGCTAAAATGTAAAATCACCCTTTCTTCTTTTAATTCGGAACTATTTGATAAAGCTACAGACCAAATTCTTAATGAAATTGCTGAAGAAAATTATTATTACAACCTGTAAATTCTAACCTCGCATTTTACCATCAAAAATGTTTTGCAAGTGTAATTATTTGCACTGTAAATCAACTAAATAATGCTATCAAAATAAGATGTTGTATGGTGAACCAGATCTAACCAGATTTTGTTTCCTTTCTCACAAAAGGAAACATTAAGAAAATCTGGAAAATATCAAAATTAACAAGGAATCCTGTATTTTGCTTAAAGATACTGTTAGTATACTACAAGTAGTAGTGTATTGTATACAGAAAAATGTTTGAACCTGTTTTATTTTCTTCCCTTTCACCCTCCTCACAAGTTTAAACAGAGCAAATTCAATAAAAGCTGTATAATTTTTTAAACTGAACTGTGACTGTGTGAATTTTAAATTGGGCAAGATTGTTTGCAAGTGTGAATGGGCAAAAATAACACGGTGAAAATATTCCTCTGTATACAGTTTGCTATTCCGCAACTTGGTGGAGAGCAGCTTCCACTATATCAGGTATTATTTGAAAATACTGTAAACCTATTACATTTGGATTTGTATTCTTTTTAGTGGTTTAGGTGAAAAGAAACTTCTGCTAACTCAAGTACACTGCTAAATGGCTTGCATAAATATTCATAAGAACATTTAAAAAAGCTATAAATTCACTACTAATTTCAAATCTGTGCTAACATTTTCTCAATTAATAGGAAGAAATTCAATGAAATTGAAGACCAAATGTAATACATGCTAAATATAATACATTTACAGTACCATACACAAACATTAAAAAATATCTCACCTATACTAATTTGTTTAAAAATCAATTTCTGCCATTAAAATAAAATGTAAATGCAAAATACAAGACACTTAACTTTAACCTACAATTACATCTTGCTTTATAATATGTAAATCTATGTGAATACATATTTATACAGTTAAGCCTTGCGATCTCCAGCGTGTATTGTAATTTAAAATGCTACATTCACATCTAGTGAATATAATCAAGATTTGTGCATATCTATTGGTTTGCTCGAGGAAACTTCAGTAAGTTTCAATCAGAAAGTACAACTTTCATTGCTCCTAGCATTCAAAATGCAGAACCTTAATGACTTGTAAACGCTTTTATAGACTGATACTTCATCAACTATAAACAGACCCCATTTTGGCTCTTTTTTTGAGTTGAGCTGTTGTTCATTCAACACTATGCTCCTCTTCCTGCTAAATCAGCTTTCCGCCACACAAAGAACACCTCTTCTCATTAAATCAGCTTTCCCCCACATAGCGAACACTCCTGTGATGGCATCCAAGCAATATCTGGAATAAAACCAGATCTATTTATTCTATCTTAAATCAAATTTCCATGTAATTATTTCTCCATAATAACCTCATGTGTTCAGTTTGGAGTTTTTGGATAGGAAATTTAATGAGAAATTGCTTCACCTTGCTTTTAGTCAAGCCATACCTTTCAACATCTCAAAGGATGATGCCAAACTGTTGCAATTTATACAAGTCCTGTACGTCAATGAACAAGGCAAAAAGGTTAGACAACACATCCCTGTAAAAAAATTAGCTTTAACTAATCGCCCAATATGCAATGAATTACATATTTCTTCATACAAGTAATTATGCTTTTGTGTTTGTTGCTGTTCATATCGTCAATATCACTTTGGAAATTGAACTGTACCATTGCATTCTTAAAAATCTTTAAACGTAACACGTGAACTCTTTTGTAACAAAATCTGCTCTAGTGTATTACCAAATGTATGGCCATTAGGACAAATCCAGGTCAGTTCTTCTTCCTTCAGAGCTGTTGCTAGTCAGGAAAACAAGATCAGTTATAACTGAAAAACACTATTTCTTCATGAATGGAACAGACATAACTTTAGTATTTTTATGCCATTAACTTTAAACCTGTCAGAATTTTCTGGTTTAACCACAATTTTGTGCTAAAAAGCTTCTAATGCTTCTCCAGTCCTAAAAATTGCTTTCAATGTACAAATTACTGCATATAGGAATTATGATACTTTTTTTTAGGTACATGTAGATGCAGTATTTTCCCTTTATTTCAAAGTAAAGAATTCAATCATGTTATGAAGGATAACAACAGGCTAGGGGCTGAGGTTTATCATAATTAAAATCTCTGTGGACCTAACAACAAATTTTTATTTCAAACTGATTTTTGTCATATTTTGCATTGGGAAATGTTTCTCCTTGGTCATTCTGCCATTTAAGCAATGCACTCAATATCTTCATCTCTGAAAACAAAATTTTTGTTTCATTTTAATTTCAAACAAAAATTTGCTTTGCAATGCATTTCACCATTCTCTATTTCGTATATAAAATAATTTTAGAAAATTATCTTAACCAATGCATATTGTCTTATTTAGGCCAAAAAAAATTAATTAAATGTTTCTCAGGCCAAAAAATTCAAATTTCAATGCGGCAGGCAGACTTTTTTTTTTTTTAATTTCAAACAAAAATTTGCTTTGCAATGCATTTCACACTCTATTTCAAGCCATATTGTTCAATAAAATGATTATATCTGCATTTTTCTTAATTTTTTTCTCTAAATTAGTTTTAATATGTATTCAACTCTAAATAATGTTATTCTAAACATTTATTTAAAAGTTAATTCATAAAATACTGTAAATTAAGAAGAAATATATTGTTTTTCTAATAAAATGGGCTGTTCACCTTTGTGTAAAGGGGAATACCTGTTTGTGTCTTTTACAAGTTGTGAAAAATAGCAAATTGAGTTATTTGTGTGAACTGCTTACCTGTTTGTGTGAATGCGGCCATTTTTGTGTAATGCGGCAGTGCCTGTTTGTGTATTGATTAATTTTTTATGGCCTTATTTATTTTCTTTTTACTCTATGTCAATGAAATAAGTTCAATTCAAATTATGAAAGATCACAAAAAAGATCACAAAAACATTTCCCATTTAATAAATGGTTTTTTGTACCAAAATACTGGAAAACTCTTTCATTAGCACAGTCACAACTCTTCAAAGGAAATGGGCTGTTCACCTTTGTGTAAACTGCCTACCTGTTTGTGTGAACTGCCTACCTGAACTGCCTACCTGTTTGTGTGAACTGCCTACCTGTTTGTGTGAACTACCTACCTGTTAGTGTGATCTGCCTACCTGTTTGTGTGAACTGCCTACCTGTTTGTGTGAACTGCTTACCTGTTTGTGTGAACTGCCTACCTGTTTGTGTGATCTGCCTACCTGTTTGTGTGAACTGCCTACCTGTTTGTGTGAACTGCCTACCTGTCTGTGTGAACTGCCTACCTGTTAGTTTGATCTGCCTACCTCTTTGTGTGATCTGCCTACCTGTTTCTGTGAACTGACTCTGTTGTGATCTCAGAATTGCATCAAACACCTTCTCTACATGCTTCATCAGAATGACTTTAGACAGCTGAGATACAGTTCCTTTGGCCAGGGCCGCCTCATGAATTCCTTCATCAGTTGTTTCTGGGATGTGCAATTGTATTGTCATTATAAAGTACCTGAAAAATACTTGACATTTAACTTGTGCTCCTAAACAGTTCATTTTCCAGAGCCTGAAAACTGTTCTAGACACCCTTATTTAAGACATAGGAACAAGAAACATTAAAATTTTCTTGAAAACATTTCTATATGTACACATTTTGCTCTAAATTTTCAACAGGGCATCAGTTAATATATGCATACCAAAAAATATGAAATGCAGTGCATCCATACATTACCTTAACACACGTAGAAGTTTGACAGGCATAGTGATCCATTTGTGTGACTTGGACACAAAGCTGGTTAGGGAGGGGATGATATTGACTCCAGACCAGAGGCTGTGTCTGAAATACTCCAGGACATCAGGGATACTGTTCATTGGGACTGGAACAGAAAAATATATTATTCTAAATAATACTGTACTTCTTTGTTATTTTTCTTCCCCCATCACATATCATTATAAACACATTTCTTCAATAATTAGCTTTACGTTCCTCAAACACTTGAATTAATTCCAATGTTTTAGTTGTTATCAGAGAGGTATGAGGATAAGATACCAGTCTCATCTAGTAACAGTTGTTCTGCGGTTTTCCTCTGCTCCTCTTCTGATTTTATAGACAACGTGAATACCTGTAAACAAAATGAAACACTTACTAACAGTTTCTACAATATATTTGGTGCTTTATTTTTTTTGTAACTGTAATAAGAATTGTTTCCAATTTCATCATTTTCTTTCCTGTAAACAATATATAAATCAATTAGTGTTGGCAACGAGTACCCGGTTAACCGTCGAATGATGTGATTATCGTTTAGTAAAACTGCTATTCGGTTACTCGGATAAAATAAATTCTACATAGTAAAGGCATAAAAAATGAATGTTTTATAATTTATAAATGTATACTAACTTACACATTTCCCGAATTTTGGGTACCGTTAGACTTGATCTAGTGCATGGTTGTAGTGGATCAAATTGTTTTGATTAGTTTTCACAGATTATATAATTGCATGACAGCTTTGATTTCTTGGAGTATACATATTTTGAAGGCTTGAGTTATAATTACCTCATTTGATAATTTAATGAGATGCCGCTGAAGACATGATAAGCTTGGAGTTTCAAAATCTGTTAAATCACCTAAGCTTAAAATATTCGGAAACCAGCGATTTACTGGACACTCTACATATTACATATGTAACTATTAATTATGGAATATGTAAATAATTATTCTACTTGATTGCGGCATATTTCGGGGTCTGAAAAGGAAAGTGTAAAATGGTGATTGATGATGACGTATTTATTTGTCTTCTTCGTGTGTCCAATTCCCTATTAATTTTCTTTATTTTATAATCATAAATATATGACTAGATGCGATCTCGTTGCGAGCAACGAGTAGGTCTTCCGTCCGATATCTCGTGGAATAAGACCTGTGTTGGGATAATTCCATTAATAGGATAAAAATGTCAAAAGGCACAAAAATTTTTCTTAATCACGAAAGTGGACCATTCCGATTACCTACACTTTCATGAAAAAGGTGGTATGTTTCACAAAAAAAATAAATTCTTCGATCGCTCTACGAGAGTCAAGGAATAAGATTCCATTATGTTCACTAACTTGCATTGAGAAAAAAAATGTTTATATAGGTCAATTAAACGGTCTTTGAAAAATAGTTATCTTTTAAAAAAAATGTTTTCTAATTGTAACAGTTGTCCTTTCTATTAATTTAATTTGACACAAGTGTGCATGGGAAAACAGTGGTCACGTTTTGTACTTACTATATATATACTTTTCTTGAAAAACTATTAATTATAACTATGATTTAAGCTATGTGTTTCTGTGATGCAAAACAAAAGATAGTAGATATTGTACTTAATTTGCACATTAATTCTTTTCCATTTCTACTTTGAGAAACAACCAAAACCAATTAAAGAAGATTTGTAAGATGACCTTGGATTATAAATGTAGTTTGACACAGAATTGCAACGAACCTACGACGTGACAATCCAAGTATTCCTACACATTTCATTGCTCCTTATGTTACTTTCGTTCAAGCAAACGCTAGACTGCCTCTGTAAACTCCTATTGCGAAATGTCGGAATTGACAGAGACCGCTTCAGATTTTTGAATGTTAATATCTCGAGTTTGAATTTATCAATTTACAAACAAATTATATATTCAGCCTAATTAGAAAGTTTTCTATCAACCATACTAATATAATTCGAAAATATTGAAAAACAAAAAAGTTTAAAAATTCGACTTTTTAAACTCGCATGCCGTAACAACAGGAAGTAGAGACGACGTACGAAAGATCGCGTCCTGGATAGAACTTATCACGATCTATAATCCCTGAAAGTTTCACAGTGATATCTTTTACCGTTCTTGAGATTATGCGCGAACAAAATGTCATGTTAAAATCAGAAAATTGTCCGTAACTTGTCACCAGAAAGGAATTTCCAAAAAATATCTCAGATAAAATAATTTCAGATAACAACACATTGTTCCTGCAAATTTCATGAAAATCCATCAAGTAGTCTTCGAGAAATCGCGTGCACAAAATTAGATGGTCAGAAAAATAACAATAATAACGAACTCAGGCGAGCTTCAACACCTTTTGCGCTGGAAAGATATGGACTCAAAAAAGCAATTCAGCAATCCTTCCTCTACCTTCACTGAAAATCTCAAGTCAATATCTTCATTTGTTTTTCAGTGATTGCCAGGACAAGCTGACCCTCTTAAAATCAGGAAATCGTCCATATCTCACGACTGGAAGTGACGGCGTACATATAAAAAATTTCCAATAAGGTTCAGACCAATATCTATCAGATCTGAAAGTTTCGTGAAAATCGACCGAGCCGTTTCCGAGAACTCGCGTGCACAAAATCGGTAAGGAAAAAAAAAAAAATAATAATAGGGAAAAAGAAGCCAAACGAAAACAATAAGGTCTTCCGTTTCCAACGGAAGACCTTAATGATATCGTATGTGTGTATTGTAAATATAATGTCCCTATACAGTGTATTTGTGCATTACTACTACTGATAAGTATAGAACAAGATAAATAAAAGATATTGATACTTTTACCAAAAATCATCCGAGTAACCGGGTACTCGATCGGAAGATGAAGCGAGTAAACGGTTGCTAAAAATCGTCCGATTTGCCAACACTAGAATCAATGAATCTTTTTATATGCTTTATATCTGTGCTCTTAATTCTGTGCAATCAATACAAAATATATATATATACTGTAGTACTTTTTCCCGCGTGGTATTAATATTTTACGCTATGTACGCGGTATCAAATTGTCCGCGGAAATTTTTCCCATCGTACTCAGAATACTTGTAAGTATTATAGTGAGATTCTAAGATATCAGCGTAATTTTCTACCCGCGGATTAAAGAAAAATAGAGATTCCGCGGAATTATGACCCCGTGGAAAATAGTACGCCTACAGTATATATATACATGTAATGCACAGAAAAAAATTGAAATAAACCAAATCAATGAATCTTATTTTATGTTTTCAAGTTTTTTCGTTACCCTTGAACTTTTTTGAAGGATTAGTTGACACTTACATGCATTGGCTGCCTTTTCATGAATTTCAGATCAAATTTTTTCAGTGGCCTGCAAATTCAAAACTTCATAAATAATATGTGAAGAATGAAGTTATTGTAGCAATACAATTAATTATTTAACTTGATTTGGTATCAAATTTAGAGCTTAAACGAATATCATAAATCAATACTCGTGAATTTTATTAGTATTTAAATATTAAGTAAGGTAATATAGGAGTTATGCCTTTTCATTTCCTTGCAAATCTTTTTTGTTTATTACTATATATATAATTATGACATGTGTAAGAAATAAAAGTCTGTTCACGTCAGCAAAAAACAAAAATTAGAAAAAGAAGATTATCAACAATCACTTTACTTCTTTAAATTATTTCACTGTATTGCAATTTGATTACATAAAATGCTTGGTCATCGAACCTGAAGCTGCTCCCCATGTTTACTGTTATATTAATAAAACCAAAAAACAGTCCATTTCCAGAAACGTCTTGTTAACCGATTTAAACTATATTTGAATTTAAAATATAACATTCTCAAAAATAAAGTGCCCCGCCACAGCATGATACGCCCGTCAAATATTGTTCAATAATCATAAATTGGTTAGGATGCAAGAAAATCAGGTAGCCTTGATTAACAGATTGACACAGATTTCAATTATCTATTTTCCATTTCTTATTATACATCCTAAGAGACTTACAGTGTAGGGATTGACTATAACAAATAATACTAGTGAGACATGACTGCAATTTGTAGCAAATATATAAAAATTAAAATATAATTTTTTTTTTCAATTAACACATGTATAATTAGTTTTAATCATATTGTACAATACTAATTTAGTTTTAATCATACACTAAAACATCAATTTGTTTTAATTAATTACACCAATACGTAATATCGCGATTACCTTGCAGTTATCTAACTTACTACCGCTCTTTTGCGAGGGAGTCGAGAAAGCTCAAATCTCACGAGATTACCGGGGCACATGGCATTGTTTACAGTAGAGACAATCGAATGATTTGAACAATTTTATGCCGAAAGTACAATGTATTGCCAAGAATTGAATTCCAAATAGTAGATTGTAAGATAAAAATTAGTTTAAAACATTTTAACAGCTTTAAAATGCGAGATTTTCAATGAAAATATAATGAGAAGAGCCCGCTTAGTTAAAAATATCGTAAAAAATGTAACATTTTAGGATTAGCCCCTCTCAAAAATTAATTAGGCTGGTTCAGCGATTGTTAAGGAAGGTATTCCACCTGGATTTTAAACTTATCTGTCCTTATAAATTCTACAATGATCGATCTTGCATTGTATTCAATAGTACATTTGTCCCCAGCCAACAGATGTTTTCTACCTCTATCGCGAAAGAGTTCCGCTAAGTTAAGTAATCGCGATATCAAGTATTGAAAGATCTTTATCTGGACTAGCCATCAAGAACTCTTAATTAACACAACAACTAGAGGCCATTTCTTTTTGCCCAACTCCCAAGAGATAAATTAAGATAACTGCTGCACCAAATCTAGAGGTGCTCTTAGCTCCTGACAATAAACTCATTAATTTCTCTCTAATTTGACATGCAAATTACTGCTATCAAAATTCTTCTTGACCAGTGCTTGATAATTAAGCCCATGGGACAAACTGAATTCCTCTCAAAGCATAAACATTTGTTACAGATTGCTGTAAAGTATATAATGAAAAAATAAGTTTTTACTTAATTTAATGTTTTTTAATAAGGATACAACTACAGGTGACTCTCGATGGCTCGAACTCCGATCTCTCGAAGTTCTCTATCTCTCGAAGTGAACCTCCGGTCCCGTTTTTTCCCTCTATATAACTAAGCAAATTTACTCCTGATCTCTCGAACTTCCATCTCTCGAAGTTCTCTATCTCTCGAACCAAAACCTGGGTCGCGTTACGCATATTTCATTGAATTTTACTCTCTGTCTCTCGAAGTTGATTGCGCGTGTATACACGCCAATCAAGCGTAAAATTGATGCAGTCTGGACTTACCTGGAAACCGTAAAGGCCTTGGTCTGGCATGGAGGTGTTAATTGGGTGTTTACATAGATGACACTACACCTGTGGGTCGTCAGTGTGTTGTTTTATTTAATTGGTTATTATTCACGGGGTAAATTAAAAACAAATTCACAACTTATTTTGAATTGAAACCGAGACGATAATTATTTTAAAATTAATTTATAGCGAGCGCAGCGAGCGTCGCGAAGCGACGCTCGCGAAGCGAGCTCAATAGACTAACGTGTATGAACAGAGGAAATTCGGATTGAAATCTGTACATACGTCAGCGAAATTTCTCTGTGAAACCTTCCCAGAATTCCCACACTACCCAATGACCTTTGCGCGAATAAATCAAAAATAGTAAAAAAATTAAAGGAACATTGTTTCTTACCGAAATCTTAACGAAATGATTTTGCCATACCTTATTCAAAAAAATACCCCCATGACACAACACTGGCCTTCACCTTGCCCTTCGGAAAAGATACAAATGACGTCACCGGAAACTTACGAATTCTGACGAAGTTATGTCGGTTGCTTCCGTGAAACTCGGCTTCAACAAAGCAACTTACATGAAAAGAACAATTTATTAATGCAATCTCTTTTCCATAAAACTAAAGTTTGCGATCTAAGTCAACAGAACTTTTTAGCTCATTCTGACGTCAGACTTTCGTCACTTCTACGGTTCGGGTATTTCCGATTTTGTCGGAAACTTCCGAGAATTTTCGAATCTCGATCCCGATGCTTGGGAAATGATTTCATTTTGTTGTTTTGTTTTATTCTTTTTGCTTTTTTTCCTGAATGATAGACAGTACACGTGTAGGTTTATGATAGTAAATAAACTGCGCTCGCCCCAACGGTCACACCGTAAAACATATTAGATGTTCGTTTTAGTAAGTTCTCATAGACTATGAACTTTCATTTTGATTATATAGAGTCTACATAATCCCAGTATGGGAAATATTACACAAGAAATTCTTTTCTCAAGGACAGAATACCGATTAAGAAAAATCTGGTGAACACTGGTGAAGGACCCGATCAAGCCGCGGAATAGCCAAACTACAATTGCTATTCGGGTTTCATGTAATCATGAAATAGGAACAAATAAATATTGAATCTTTAGGAATTCGTTTTATTTATTTGAAATACAATCATTGTTGTTGAAATCAAGTAAATTACCTGTAAAATACGATTGAAGACGTGCAATGACATTATTAACATATACTTCCGGTATCTGTAAAAGTAGAACTTCGATGATCGGAACTGAAAATTCCGGATTTTATTTACTTTCCATCTCTCGAACCCCTCGATCTCTCGAACTTTTCTCGCGGTCCCTTGAACTTCGAGAGATCGAGAGTCACCTGTATATTTTTACATTTTTTAGGATTATGAAATTTAGAATTTAAAAGACATAGTTTTTTTAAAAATTCATTTTAATTAAAGGTCACAGTGACCTTAAAATAGGCCGCGACACACCTTCTACTTTAGATGTATACTTTTGCTAAGTTTGAAAGCTCTAGGTCTAATAGTTTTCTAGTTATGAGCCGGACAGGATTTTTCCATATTTTGCTATAGCAACTTTGTTGCAAATATATAAAAATTGAAATACAATTTATTTTTTTTTTAATGAACACATATATAATTAGTTTTAATCATATTATACAATACTAATTTAGTTTTAATCATACACTAAAACATCAATTTGTTTTAATTTCATTACACCTATTGAAAGATCTTTATCTGGACTAGCCATCAAGAACTCTTAATTAGCACAAGCAACTATGAGGCCATTTCTTTTTGCCCAACTCCCAAGAGATAAATTAAGATAACATCTGCATCAGATCTAGAGGTGCTCTTAGCTCCTGACAATAAACTCATTAATTTCTCTCTAATTTGACATGCAAATTTCTGCTATCAAAATTCTTCTTGACCAGTGCTTGATAATTAAGCCCATGGGGCAAACTGAATTCCTCTCAAAGCATAAACATTTGTTACAGATTGCTGTAAAGTATATAATGAAAAAACAAGTTTTTACTTAATTTAATGTTTTTTAATAAGCATACAACTATATTTTTACATTTTTTAGGATTATGAAATTTAGAATTTAAAAGACTTAGTTTTTTAAAAAAAATCACTATAATTAAAGGTCACAGTGACCTTGAAATAGGCCGCGACACACCTTCTACTTTAGATGTATACTTTTGCCAAGTTTGAAAGCTCTAGGTCTAATAGTTTTCTAGTTATGAGCCGGACAGGATTTTTCCCTATTTGGCTATAGCATCTTTATTAAAGGTCAGAGCGACCTACTTTTTGTGCGCGACACACCGTCTACCCAAGAAGTATGAGTTGACAAAGTTTGATAATCCTAGGCCTAATAGTATTCAAGTTATGAGCCGGACAGGAATGGACAGACGGACGGACACGAAGCCTATAACATAATACGTCCCGTCTTAAGACGGGCGTATAATAATAATTTAGTGTATATTTTTAACAAATGATTTCTGCAATTATTTGTAAAACAATCCATTTGTTAATATGGAATATCTATCTATATTTATAAACCTTTTCTTACTTTCAGTGTAAACACAGTGATCTACATCACAGTCACAGATCAGAGATATGAAATTTACAAACCATGAAGCTGATGCAGCATGTTTGGCTTGTAGATGATTAATCAATTTTTACATTGTCTCTTTACATATCAGGCTAATGGTACTATGTGGACAAAGTTTACAAAATGATTTGTCTTTGCTTTTGTTTGGAGAGAAATGCTCCTTTTTCCATTATGATCAAAAACCGGATGCTGTACAGTTTATTGTATGACATTTTGGTATTAAACATGAGTCCAAATATTCAAAAGCAATTTTTCAAATACCGTAAAATCCCGTGTATAGAGCGCAATGATGTAAAAGACGCACCCCCAACTTTGGGGGTAAAAATCCTGAAAAAAACGCTGGTCCTATGTAAAAAGAGCATCCCAAAAATGCAGAATTTGGACGTGACATTACTTTTTCTAGTACAGTAACTTAAAATAAAATAATGAAAAATTTACCAATCTCAAACGAAAGTAGAACGTCAGTTTTTTCACTTTACATATTCAAGTGTGCATGTGTGAACATTTTAATTTAATCTTTGTAATAGTTATCTAACAAGAGGTAATAATACCTGATTATTGTCTTTTTAATGAATTCCAAGCCAAGCTTGTTATCAATTTATGCTTACCAGTAGAATGCATATATACCAAGCGCGTGTCAGTGTGTATGTAAACAAAACTGGGTCATACCCAAGCGATATTAATGTCGAAAATTTGGCTTTTAGTAATTAAACAGTTCTTGGTATCCATTGATAATTTTCTTGAATGTAATTGACTGTTTTTACAAATACGTTTATATGTGCTTACATTGGCTAGTGTTTTAATAACGCAGGTGTTGAAGTGATAATTGTTATATAAACAATGGTCATGGCCTAAGTGACAACATAGACTAAAGTTAAATATAGCAATGACGCGGCAACAGAATCCCTAACAATTTGTAACTGGAATTACATATCTACAATTTAAAAAAATAAAAATAAGTCATAGAATTGAGAATAATTCAGAAAACATCAAAAAGATTATAGCTGTTGACTCATTTATAGGTATTAATTAAATACATCTATGTCTTAAGCGACATGCATTTCGTTGATGATATAAGCGACGGTAGTTCAAAATGGCGGAATATGCAATGGAAATAAAATATAAACAAAGATCGTTTTTCATCAGAATTTTATTTTTGAAACGGTTTTCTTTCTTTCAACACTAAGGGTATATGTTTATTTCTACAACAGGTAGGGTTTGCGTATATAACTCTCTGAAATTAGATTAACTTTGACGTAATTGGTTACAAAGGATAATCAATTCAAATGGATCAGGAAAATGGTCCTCGGCACTGAGAATGTGACCTGAAAAAAAGGGGGTTGAATTTTGTTCCTATATATTTAGCGCATTCCTACTTTTGAACAATTTTCTGACGAAAAAAAGTGTGTCCAATACAAGGGATTTTACGGTATTCATCAAAACTATTCATTTGCTAATATTCAAACATTCATTTCAGCTCCAATCAATATATCATTATTGTATGTGAACCGCTTTTCCTATTGTACTTACCAAGTAGCTAAGATACCAAACATCCTATTTGGAGAACTACCTATACCAAGTATTTTCCTTTTGTCAACAAAGTCTGTTGTAAGTGCAGAAAATTCAAGTCCAGTTTTTGCATCTACAGGGAAATAATAAAACAAGATATTAAGACATTGAAGAATGATGGAGTATTTTCAATACAATATGGAATATGTAAAGTGCAAATCAAATGTGATATAAAATATTTTCCTTTTTTGGTTTATTTATGCTAAAACAATAAGGTTTGTTTTTTTATTTACATGTCTGGAGAGAAAATGCAAATAAATTAATCAGTTTATTTATCTTGGACTTTTAAAATGTTGAGATTTTTGAACTGATTCAAAATTGAGACTTAACTCTTTTCCCCCTGTTGCCACCATTTGACGCACTTGCGATTTCCCTAGAGTGTTTATCTGGCTGCCCCCTGAAGCCATTTTGACTGACTTGAAATGACTGACCATTACATTTAGAACATGCTAATTAAGTACCTAAACATCATCATAGTGTCACATATTATATATCAATGTTTGGGGAATGGATTGAACTTTAGTATTGTCATATAATATTTTAAGAATAATTAATCTACAATTAACAATATATAGGTGAAACCAGGTAAAATGAATTTTTCACAACTAATCTTCATATTATGCTTTCTATGAGAGAAATTTTCTGTAAAACCAGACCTGCCAACCAAAATTGATGCTGTGGGGGGTCATGACCCAACATTCAGAAATGAAATGTTGGGTCATAGCGCGTGACGACATTTTTCGAGGGTTGAGTAACAATATAGTCCCCAAATTTTTAGACATCGATGTAAACACACACATGTATTCATTACATTTTATTTCAGGCTTAAATTATAATCTTTACATGCCAGTTTTGCTGCTTTAAGCACACTTTCAGATGGAAAGTATTCATAACAGTCATGGTCTTTGTTCTGTTTTGTACATAGCAATGAGCAAACTGTGTCATTTTTGAGTTCAGATCTGCATTCTGTGACAATTTTTCTCATTATGGAGTATACTAGTATAACAAAACATTTCTCTGAGCCCCGGTCATTACTCTCATCACATAAGACAGAAAAATGTTGATTTTTACATATTTCTACAACAGTTTTTTCATAATCTGGTGCAATTGCCCTTTTCACAATTTGAGTACATTTGGTGCGACCACAAGCAAAATTGGAGGCAATTTGACTATCTGAAAACATTCTTGGAACAAGTTTTGTGAAATGGTCAGCTACTGCAAATGATAGGTTATGCTCTGCTACAAAATTACTAAACAGAGTTTCAGCCAGAATAACTTTAGAAGACGTCTTGTTTTCAACAAAGCTAACAATACTCTTTGAAGATTTTGATGCCTCTTCTGCTTTCACATGAATTGACCTAGTTGCATGGTGTTTCACATCGTACAATGCACCAGAAGCAATTGAAAAATTAATCTGACAGAGCTTGCAATAAGCCCAATCTTCTCCTAGATTGCACTTTTGAATCCATTGGAATTCTTTTTCCCATGTACTTTGGTATTTACAACTGTATTTTTTACGTTTAGTAGGAGTCAGTGTACATGGCCCAGACATCGATCGTTTCCTTACCGAAGACATTTTCAAACTGATTGTGAACTCTTTATCAAAATAATTACCTGTTTTCTGATGATCACAGCTCATACATCGTTAAAAAAACATAGCCGCTGGCATTATTCATGGTCTTGTTTACACTTCCGTTTCCATTATCAAAGGCGCCGTCTGGTGTCGAAAATTTAAAATAAATTAGAGTTATCTCTCTTCGGATTATTTACCGAAAATTGGGTTAAAAAATGGGGACAATCGATTTTGCGGGTGAAAATGATGACCCGCCGCGGGTCATTACGAGTGGGGGGTGAGAGGTCAGTTTTGCGGGTGTGACCCACCGAATGCGGGTCACTTGGCAGGTCTGGTAAAACATACCATTAAACTTAAAATATAGTACCAAACCAACTAAAAGGCTCATTACTTTTTGTTTAATTAATTATAATTAAGATAGATTAATAATGATAGGTAATTATCTTAGACTTGAGCCAACTAAACTTCACAATCATGTTTATGCAGGCATGTTGTTTATAAATATTGTATATATTTAGTTGGCCATTTCTTGCAAAAGTCTTGGGGAAAATAAATTAATATTTATCTAAATCAATGCCCTGATGAAACAAATGCTGAAAGTAGATTATTTAGTACTCATAAAACACATTGGAAATCTGTGACCGCCATTGTTGTTCTTGTTAAAGATTCTATGATTTTTTTCCTTCTAATTTTCATTGTAAAATTTTATTTCTATTAAATTCAACTTTAGAACTGATGTAAAAACATTTTGAATGCTAATACAATCCAAGGTATGTTACATAAAATGCAGTATTAAGGCTTAATTTTGCTTGTGACAAGGCCCAATCTCTTCTTGTAAACAGACTGGGCATCATTGTTTTCACACAGGTAAATCTCACGTGAATTCACACCAAGCTGTGACTCCACTAATTAAAGTAACATTACCTAATGTGTAATACACATGATTGGCTATCATTTAGAGCTGAATTTATTTAGAATTAGGGGAAATCACAGAGCTAATTTAGGGTTGTTGTGTGTATGCATCAAAAGTCGTCAACAGGGAAATGGGGCATAGCGTCAAATGGTGGCATCAGGGGGTAAAGGATGTAATGCATTTGGGGGAAAAGAGTTAAAATTTAGATTTCAATTTATGACATTTAAGATCTAGGGACAGATTACACTAATTATGTAGGAGTATAAAATAATCAGAGCTTTCTAGTGTGTCACGTGTAGTGAAGTTTTAAATACACATACCTTCATTCAAAGATGGTTGAATAATCTGTAAATATCCATCTTGTGATGACATCACAAAGAAACTGTCCACGGAAATTAATCCTAAAATGACAGAATTAAACTTCTATTACTTCAAATCAACATTTTAAACCTGAAATTAAATCATATTATTTCCATTTCTAAATTTTTTCTCTGTGATAACTCTTTCAAAGTTAGTGGAGTTGATATCTTGATAATTCTACCAGAATGCAAATTAGGCAGGTCGATAGGTCAGGAGCTAGGGATGCCTAATACGCATGCAAATCTTGTGCACATTTGTCTCTGTGTCTGATGCTAAGGAGGCCAAATATGCATGTAAATCTTGCGTTGCTCCCTCTGTGTTTGATGTAAGTGGGACCATTAAAATTGACATGGTAGTCCTCGTGTAATATAAATCTAAGTCTATATTTTTTAAAATCTAAATCTACAATTTTATTTTACAATGAAATGGAAATACAAGGAATCACTGTCTAGTTAGTAAATAATGCCAGGGACATCAAAGATAGTGGGAAACATGGGGTAATTTATGCAAAAACGGCTTTGCCGTTATGCAAGTAATCCCATGTTTCCCACTATCACTGATGCCCTGGCATACTATATTATCTAGTCAGCGATTCCTTAAATCAATATTGTCTTTATTGTTTGGACTCACCTGTGACAGGAAAATCATGCTGACCCAGGTAAGATTTCTTCTCTACCACTTCTGATGTCTTGATATTAATCAGAAAAGACAATACATGGATGTCTTTGGACACTATTAGGAGTACATATTTCTGGGGGAAAAATAAAGATGACAAATTCTAAATATATAATAAAAATAAACCTGAAAGGTAGATATAGTTCTTGTTATTTATCATTTTCAACTCTCAAGAGTCATTCAAATTTTATAAGCAGAAGTCATGAAAATTATAACTGTTTCACAGTATTTTGTCCAATCTGTGATTCAATCAATAAAATTAAAGACATAAGACTTCTTTTACTTCTGTTATTTATCACCCCCCCCCCCCCCCCCCGACACACACTCAGCATATTACTATATCCCCTATAACTTTTTGCCGATGGATAAAAACCAAAAACCATAAGCATGTGCAGTACACACTTTCATAATGACTGACACAATGTGATACCTGTGATAACAGTTTCCAGGCAATACAGTCCACCCTGATGAGGTCTTCGTCTTCATGCAACACTGTTTTGGAGTCTGTAGTAAGCTTTCTCTTGTCTACGGACAAACTGATCACTTGACCCGATTGGTAACCAATAATAAGGCATCCTGAGAATAAAAGGGGAGGAATTTTAGTGCAAAATAAAATGCTATAATATTTATTCATAAAATCATGCTGCTATAACAAGAAATCTGTAAGCCAATGCTCACTAGTAATACCCCCGCTCTGATGTAAATAAGCACTATCATGTTAATACATGTATATATACACAAGTTCAATTACAGGCAGATGCACAGAAAAATATGAAGACATCAGATTCATATAAAAATTAATCCCACCATATTGCATGCCTCAACAAAGGGTGTAATAAAATTTCAAGTATCCGCTATGAATACTAATGAGAAAACTGCGACGAAAATTTGTTATGTGTGAAACAGACAGACGCAGAAACAAACAGGAAGTTGACATCAGTTTTGTGCGAAAATGTATCCAACCATATGGCATGCCTCAGAGAAGATTGTGTTAAAATTTCAAGCATCTACAATGAGTAGTTGCTGAGAAAACTGTGACGAAAATTTGTTATGTATGAAGTGGACAGACGCACAGACTAACAGGAAGTTGATATCCGATTTGAGCGAAAATGTATCCTACCATATGGCATGCCTCAGAGAAGATTGTGTTAAAATTTCAAGCATCTCCGATGAGTAGTTGCTGAGAAAACTGTGACGAAAATTTGTTTCGGACCGACACACAGACACAGGGACACACAGACAGACACACAAGGGTAAAACGGTATACCCCCCTCTCCTTCGGAGCGGGGGTAAAATAAAAGTTTCATTTAACATTAGAATTAAGACATATGTGCATGGCCCTGTAAATCTAACTTGAGTAAAATTGTTACCATTTTCTTCTGTGGTTCCTGGACACCAACATAGACTAGACGGAATGGAAGATAGTGGCAGTGTTTCACTTACAATGATGACATCATCTCTAAAAGATACAAATCAAGAATTTACTTATGACATTTAACCAAGAGTCAATTTTTACATTTTCTACTGTTTGTGAAAGCTTTTTTTAGATAGGTTCCCATTTGATAGATGCAATAATCAGTGCTCCAAGTTGCGACTAAAATGGTCGCATTTGCGACCAAAAATTGATTTTGCAACTAAAAATGAAAACACACTCGCATTTTCGCGACTGAGAAAATTTGGGCTGGAAACATCCATTTTTAAGATCGGGATCGAGATTTCATTTGTAAAGATTCTTTATCAAGAAAATGTTTGAAGACATATACTTAAATACACTTTACAAAGCGTCGCATGGACTTGGATCACGTAATGTTATGGCAGCATGCTGTACAAAGTTAGATTAGAACCAGAGACATGTATAAATAATGTTCCTGATAGAATGACATCGAAACTTCTTAAACTTTCTAAGATCCGACCTTGTTATTGAAGCATTTGGTCAATTGCTTGCATATCACAATGAATCATGCTAATAAAGAGTGTTTTGGGCGGCATTTATAATGACTATGTAATGGGTTAGGTACGTAGTAGTAAGTAAACATGACAAACAGCAGGCGAAGTCCTGTCTCAACAGCTGTCAAGCTTGTACAGGTGACTCTCGATCTCTCGAAGTTCAAGGGACCGCATGAAAAGTTCGAGAGATCGGGGGGGTTCGAGAGATAGAAAGTAAAGAAAATCCGGAATTTTCAGTTCCGATCATCGATGTTCTACTATTATAAATACCGGATGTATATGTAAATAAAGTCATTTCACGTTTTTCAATCGTATTTTACAGTTAATATACTTGATATCAACAGCAATGATCGTATTTCGACTAAATAAAACGAATTCTTAAAGTTCCAAAGTTTATTCTTTTTTCAATGATTACATGACACCCGAATAGCAATTGTCGGTTTGGCTATTCCGCGGCTTGATCGGGTCCTTCACTAATGTTCAACAGATGTTTTTAATCGGTGTTCAGTCCTTGAGAAAGGAATTTCTTGTGCAATATTTGCCATACTGGCATTATATAGACTCCAATAAAAGTTCATAGTCTTTGGAAACTTTATAAAATGAACGTCTATAAATTATTTTCCAAAAATTATCGTCTCGGTTTCCAGTCAAAATAAGTTGTGAATTCGTTTATCATTTATTAATATAATAAATAACCAATTAATTATATCAACACACGGACGACCCACAGGTGTAGTGTCATCCATGTAAACACCCAATTAACACCTCCATGCCAGCTCCAGGTGTTCACTGTTTTCCAGGTAAGTCCAGACTGCATCAATTTTACGCTTGATTGGCGTGTATACGCGCGCAATCAAAACTTCGAGAGATAGAGAGTAAAACTCAATGAAATGTGTATAACGGGACCCATGTTTTGGTTCGAGAGATAGAGAACTTCGAGAGATAGAAGTTCGAGAGATCAGGAGTAAATTTGCTTAGTTATATAGAGGGAAAAAACGGGACCGGAGGTTCACTTCGAGAGATCGAGAACTTCGAGAGATCAGAGTTCGAGCCATCGAGAGTCACCTGTATTTTCATTTGATAAAATTTCATTTCTGTAATCAGATTACTTGTGTTCTTCTGTACAACCATAAGGGTACATGTATTCAATAAAAAAAATTCATTCAACCTAGCAAATTTTTATAGTAACAGTAATAAGTAATCTTGGATATAATAAAGACATAATACATAACCTTATTTAAATTATCAAGTTTTATTCACAAAATGTATTTTTTTATAGCGAGTGAAATATTTGATTATGGCTACCAGAAATTCTGAAATGGCGACCAAAAAAAATGTTAGGTCGCCATTTTGTGACCTAAGAGCAAGTGTAACTTGGAGCACTGATAATGTAGCCCTCTCCCCCTTTTGGGGGGGGGGGGGGAGAGGGCTACAACTCCTTAGGATCTCCACTGGATTTTAACAAAACTAAATTAAACATTTGACACTTACTGTGAAAGAAGAGGAGGTATAATCTTTACCAGGTGTATAACACCACTTTTCATAGCAACTGCTAATATGTAATACTTCACATCATCAAAATTACACATGGGTGACCATGCAACATCTGAAAAAATAATAATAATAATGATTGTTGATTGCAATACCACAGGAAAAATTTACAATGAAATATTCCCTTCAGATATATTCAAAGTAAAGGAAAAGAAATAGCAAAACATATCAATTTTTAATTCTTCACACCTAGATTTTGAGATTTCAGACTCATTATTATAAGGTTAATTCAGTTAAATCAATTTTTAAGTCACAGGGAATGAAAATCACAGTTTTTATATTCTGTAAATAATAAAGTGCCACGCCACAGCATGATACGCCCGTCAAAAAATTACACAATTTTCTTGAACAGTTTAGGTGCAAGAAAATCACATCAACCTTGATTCTAAGATTTTGATGATTTTTCCATTCCTTAAAATATTTATCCATCCCCTGTGTTGTAGGCATCAATTATAATAAATATCACATCACCGATAGATTTCTGTGCTGGTTGTGTTAGACCTTGTCAAATGCCCATCATCAAATTAGTCTTAACAACTTAATCTATACCAAATTAATTTTGAAAAGAAAAGGCTGGCCATCAAATGACCAACAGTTCCTCTGTCTAATCCCCAAAGGGTACAGATTAATCAGAGCGACTGAGACAGCTAGCCATCCAACATTGAACTCATTGATTAATCTTTAACTGGATGCTTGTCTACTCATTACTACCAAGAGATGAATGGGTCTGCACTATCTACCATAATTTTTTTTTTAAAACATATAAAATACTCAAAGATTTTTTTTTTTGGTTGAGATTTAATGTCCGACAGGTTTTAATATGTAATTCATATGGACATGCTGATTCCATCCCACCCCATAAAATTAGTTTTTAAATTAATAATATTACATAATATCAGATTAGTCTATTATGCAAATCAAATTAGTTTTAATTACTTTTCATCAAATTCATTTTAAAACTTAAGCTAGTCAACAAAAGCTATTTTTAATCAAACAGGCTTACCCATTTGCCCAATACTCAAGGGATATAGATAAAAGCAATGCTCTGTCAGTTGGCTCCTCGCACTCAAAACCCATTAATTTCTCTCTAATTTGACATGCAATTTTCTGTTATCAAAATTCTTCTTGACCAGTGCTTGATAATTACACTCATGGGAGAGGCAGGATTTCTCTGACATACATTATATTTGTAATAGATTGCTGTCAAGTATATGCTTAGAAAAAATAAGTATTTTCTTGATTTAACACTTTTTTAATAAGAACAGTGCAAGACTCTTACATTATTTGGGATGTGTAAATGAATAGTAAAAAGACACATTTTTTTTTAAAAAAATCACTTAAATTAAAGGTCACAGTGACCTTGAAATAGGTCGCGACACACCTTCTACTTAAGATGCATAAACTGGCCAAGTTTGATGATTGTAGGTCTTATGGTTATCTAGTTATGGGCCGGAAAGGATTTTTCCATATTTGGCTATAACTTCTTAATTAAAGGTCAGAGCGACCTACTTTTTGTGCGCGACACACCTTCTACCCAAGATGCATCAGATGACAAAGTTTGATAATCCTAGGCCTAGTAGTATTAAAGTTATGAGCCGGAAACGAAAAAGCTAACAGACAGATGGACAGACGGACAGACAGACGGACACGAAGCCTATAACATAATACGTCCCGTCTTAAGACGGCGTATAAAAAGAAAATGAGTTTCAAAATAAATGCACAGCATTAACTTTTTACATCTCTACATCTCTATATGTATTGATCAGAAAGTTGTATCCTGACTGGTCCATTAATTAGGATTTGGAACACATCTGTTGGGTATCAAACATCTGAATTGTAACTTCTGTCAGAGGCCAAGGATGTAATCACAAAACCTGGACAATGTGAAGAACAAATTTGCACAATTGAAGTATGTATACGAACCTACTGCAAACATGTTGTGGCTGACTTCTTTAAATTCATTAAAGGTCATATTCTTTGATATTTTGTCTTCATATCTTTCAAACAAAATAGTGTGCAGATCAACTACCTGAATAAAGTAAAAAAAAAAATTATTAAATAACAATTAAATTTTAATTAGAATAACTTGACAGATCACATAAAATCTTAATCTTACCTCTTTCCACTTTTTTCTATCATTTCCTGTAACATATATAGCCAGTCTGTGATCACCAGTTAATGTTGCCAGTGCACATCTACAAAATTTTATTTTAAAAATATACAATAAGGATTAATAAGAACATCAATCTTCATCCGATTCCTGTATAATACTTACTATAACTGAGTATTAGCCAAAGTTTTTGTATTGCCATATATTGGGATATTTCTAAGTGTATTGCAGTTAGGGGTGGGACGATATACCGATACACCGATACATATCGATATTTTCCTCTAAGATACGGTTTACGATACAAGCATTCAAATATCGGTACGAAACGATACACGAACGACCTATCCAAAATTGAAAATGAAAGTACATGTCCTTGCAAACTGGCGGCTTGTACAAAGCGAAGAGATGATGTTGATTATTTAAAACACACTTAAGAACTAATAAGTCGTTGTTTAGGGGTAAAACATTTTCACTTTTAAGCAGCCTCGGAAGATTGGACAAGAAAAGTTCAGTATGTAATGCGTGCCTTACACAGAAAGCATCGTTTCCAGAGCATTTGATATTATTAATTGTTACTCCATCTCGTATTATTTTGTAATCTCAGCTTTGCTACAGACTTTCAGCAATTAATAAAAATGTAAATGTGATGTTTTTAAATGAATTTTAGTCAGTGTTCTCTGCTGAACTACACAACTATTTGTAAACAACTGTTTAAAAGTAATTTGGTAATAATAATAAGTACATGTATTTTTGTTTTTGTAAAGTTTTAGTGAATGATATTGATGAACTTCAAGTATTAATTTCAAAGCACACATGATTTGATATAGAACAATTTGTTGATTTAATGTCAAGGCAAAAAATGAAATAAAGTACTAATTCTTTTGAATAGTTTCATAATTTATCATGTTGATATAATGACATGACAAGAAATGAAATAAAATACTAATTTTTTAAAATAGTTTTATAATTAATCAAAATATCGAGATACGCATCGTATCGTGCCAATATATTGAGATACGTATTGTATCGCAAGATCTGTGTATCGTCCCACCCCTAATTACAGTATGTATAACAATATTTTTATCAAAACTTAATGTGGTATTTTCTTATTTAACCTATCTTCCATTTATAAGTAGAATGTACATATCTAAGATAAATGACCATGACATTTTTTTTTTTTTTGGTTTATCAAATTGATATGCACCAAAACATACACTGCAACAGTTTTTCCCTTACTGGTTGGTACAAAGGTGTATGACAATTGATCCTGACTTATTTTTTATTGTAGAAATTTGAGTCCAAGCACTTAACCAGCATATGTAAGGATAACATAAAAAAAAATATTGCAATACAAACTTTTCTGTCGTTTTATGCCTATGGCAATACACTGTATCAGTATTGTTGCCCAGCTCGAATACTTACCTCCCCAGTGTATCTACCCCTTCAGGTGACCACTTGGCCCTCACATAACCATGCTTAACTTGACCCTTCTGGTAAGGATGCAATGGATGGTTCAGGAATAATTCCTGTTGTTCATCTTAAAAATATATATAAATATACATAGTAAATTTCAAACAGAGATTTGTTCATAAGAAAAAGTTGTTTAATACCTTAAACAATAAATAAAATCAATTCAAAATGATGTCTTATGAGCTACGATTCTTTAAAAGATCTAATGGGTTATAAGATTTATTACACCAATAGTACAATTTTAATCCACATAAGCTCTGTATACTGGCACTACAGTACATTCTTTTATTTTGCAATCTGAATGTCAAGTGATAAATGACAAGCACTGTAGTGGGGCTGTCACAGTTCCATAATTTTTCAGGTCGGGTTGTTTCTAAATTTTTTGGTTAGGTTCTGGCTTTTTTGGTTCCTGTTTATAATAGAATAAATACTAACAGTGACAGCCCTACACTGTAGTAAGCTGATATTGGTCTCTACAAATCCATAGCTGCCAACTTCAAAATTTCTCTTTCTGATGAATGAATCACAGAATAATTATGAAGTGATGCCTGATTTATCTAGTAGATAATGTCTACTCTGAGCAATACTGTATACTGAATGAAAAATTTTCAATTGCCAATAATACTATCTTTTCCACAACGATCACATCAAAGCTAATTGAAAGAGTTAATATCTTGGAAGTTATCCATAAATAACTGATAGTTACTTGAGATTGCAGGAAATAGATAATGCACCTTCAATTCTCCCTAAATATTTGGTCTAGGTTGGTCCCTGACCTATAAATTTATATAAATTTCTTGTTATTTTCAAAACCTCAAACGCAAACAGCATTTTCAAGGCAATATTCTACTATTTTAACTTATTGGATATATGTTAATTATACACTGTCACTACAAGCTGTATGCATAGAATAACAAAAAGATTTTTTTTAAAAAAATACATGTACCAGAAAATTCAGTATTAATTAATAGCGAGCGCAGCAAGGCAGCGCGAAGCGCCGCTCGCATAGCGAGCTCAATACACTAACGTGTAGGAACGGAGGAAATTCAGGTTGAAATCTGCACATTGTTCCAAGAATCCAAGAGTCCACGTGAAAACATTCTTAATTCCCAATAATCCTTTGCGGTGCATAGCAACCAGTCAGGGGCATAACTCAAACAAGTTATTAAAAAAATAACTTAAATAAGTTATTTTACATTATTTTACACACACAATTTTTTTTTTTAAATAACTTAAATAAGTTATTTTTATATCCTACTTGGACATTGATTTCTTGGAAATTTTGTGTTTCCTGCCAATATGCATTGCATTTTGGGATTCCATTATGTAATACTAGATGGAGTTCACCGACTCCAATGGAGAATTTGTGAGGAGGTGGAGATAAACAGCATTTTTACCTTATTTTGTGGTTTTATCCACATGGTGTATATGTCCAATTTTTATCATTAAATAAAAAAAAAATCCCCACTTTTCCCAAGACTTTGGACACTTTTCCTGCATTGAGCAAGGTTTAAATTTAGTCAAACATTTGTTTTTGTCTTGGTGCACGAGCAAAATCCTTTGGTGCACGGGGTGTGAAGTTAGGGAGGAATGACACAAAATAACTTAAACAAGTTATTATTTTATTGAGGCTATTTTGGAAAAATAACGTGTTTGAGTTACTAAGACTAGGAGAAAGTAGGTCATAGCAAAGAGAAGTAACTCATTGAGACAAAAAAATAACTCATTTGAGTTATTTTTGAAAATAACTTATTTAAGTTATGCCCTTGACTGGCAACATGGTGGCTAAAATATAGCAACAACTTACTTGAAAAAAATTACAAACAACGATTTAATGCAATCTCCATGCCACAAAACTATCGTTTGCATTCTTAGTCAACAGGACTTTTTATTTGATGTCATATTTTTGTCACTTAAACGGCGCGGGTATTTCCGATTTTGTCGGAAACTGCCATAAGTTCCCAATCTCGATCCCAAAGCATGGAAGTGATTTCTGTTTCTTCTCTTTTTTAATGAACTGAGTAGGATAGGAAGTAGCTAGTAAAAGCTGTATCTGTGTCAAGGTTCTTGATCGTAAGTAAATAGCTGCGCTCGCCCCAATAGTTGCACCGTAAAACATATAATTCATGTGATAGACCCTACTTCATGTCAATGAAAGGGGTCTTTAAAGTAGTGAAAAGAGCATAGTTTGAAGATCATACTGCACCTTCTGTAAAAATACTTTTTGGTTTTTTCCATGATGAAAAAACTTCAAAGGGGAGTTTTGTAACATTGTTGGATTTTTCTGGGATTGGAATCAGTGAAAGATTGTAATGGAATTTCGTATCTAACTGCAGAGGTGAATGTTTCATTTCCTAAAAATAAAACAAATAAACTCTTTGTAAGTAAAATGTTTGAAATAAATCACAGGAGCATCTTATCCACTCTGTTCTCTACTTCACACATAAAAATACACAAGGGAAGAATCAAAAGTAGCACACGATTTTTAAACTAAGTCAAAAAACAACTTACTTGAGAAAAGTTACACAAATCCTGAAACGAACTAGCGCAAATGATGTCCTAGTACTTATCCATGCTAAAATATTCCAAATATATCCATCGAAAATAGCTTTTATCCAACGAAAATCCCAGCTTTCTGCACAGTGTGACTCGGAAGGCCTCGGGTACTACCGTATTGTCATCCGAGTGAGTTATCTTTTTCTTGGGCGAAGAGTTTCACACTGTGCAGAAAGCTGGGATTTTCGTTGGATAAAAGCTATTTTCGATGGATATATTTGGAATATTTTAGCATGGATAAGTACTAGGACATCATTTGCGCTAGTTCATTTCAGGATTTGTGTAACTTTTCTCAAGTAAGTTGTTTTTTGACTTAGTTTAAAAATCGTGTGCTACTTTCAATTCTTCCCTTGTGTATTTTTAATATATTCGATCAGTGCTTACCATCAGTTCAAGATATATTACTGTAGTCAGCGGCGATTCACACAAATTGTTCCGACGAAAATAGTTTCATCATTAATAAGTAGATACAACATAACTGTTCATGATAAGAATAATGTTGTGTATGTCATACGTAAAAGAAACTTAAATTAATGTAAATTTTTCCTCCAAAGATCACTTTCCCCCCTAAATGTAGGGCTGAAACGATTCACCGAAATATCGATATTGTTCGATATAAGTGCTCGGTTCAATGTTCGATTCACCATCTCGATTTTCGGTTCGATACGTTTTTTACAATCGGGTTTGGTTAACTCTTTGAAATAGATCGGGTTCGACCTTATTTTAACAGTTTGACACACACGAGGGAGAAAATTGGAACGGTATAGTTTCAGAGTAGGCTGCCTCTGCTATTATTTATACGAAGAAAGTGTTCTTAAACAACAGAACCACAAGTATCAGAGATGTGCAATTAACAAATTAGTAAATTCGGGCTAGTAAAAATTATAACTACGCATGTAATACATGAAAAGTACAACCGGTATTTTACTCATTTTTTGCTATCAAATTCCCAACCAGTGAATATTTTCCAGGCAGCATGCTCCGACTGTCAATAAATCTCCATAATTTTCTCCATTTTGCAGTACGTCCTGACTTATTTACTTCCAAAAACGATCGTTTTTTTTTCCTAATCCAAATTTCCTCCATTCCTCCGTTTATTGTAAATACATGCAGATATCTCATTAAATCATTTACGATCACTCAATCAACTGAAAGATCAGTGTGATTCACATGAAATATATTTCCAGTGTATTTAAGGATTTAATATGCAAACAAAATGAATTTATTTTCATTCTAAATGAGCTAGTGCAAAATAATCAGAAAAGGAAAGATCTTCAGATAATTTTTTTTAATTCATTTTTATTTTCTGTCATAATCATTAATTTTATATGATTTAATTTTAATAGAGAGAATAAAATTTTAATTTTCAAAAGAATGACCTTAGTACCCTGACTTTTTCAATGATTAATTTTTTTTTCAACATTAGTTTTATTTTAATTTTTGTCCCTATATTTGGGCTAGTAACTTTTTACTTGGGGCTAGTAACTTTATTGCTGCCACTAGCCCGTGGGCTAGTACTTGAATTTTTAAATTGCATACCCCTGATAGTATATTTCTATTGTATCACCACCTTTTAATTTATTTTTGAAATCTGAATATGTTTTCTTTAACCTTATGAATAGTTTCGTTCTTAAATTGTATCGTATTGAAAAAATTGAATTGTGACACAAGTATTGCAATACGTATCGTATCGTGGAGGGGGCGTATCGTTTCAGCCCTACCCAGAGTTCCCGAAACGCACCGGTCCACCGGGGATCCCCGGTAAATTTTGAATGGGACCGGTAAAATTTAAATTTTATCGGTCAAAATGTCCGACGGTTTTTTTTTACAGACTGTATAACAATGACACATAATTTTAACAAAATCATTTAATTCAAGATTCAATCAGCGTGCAAAGCCAAAGAAATTTCAAAAAAAAAAAACGTCAGTGGTGCGCCAGATTATTCTCGTGCATTCTTGTTTAAATGTAGACGGTGTATGTCTACTATAAAAGCCTACATAATAAAATAATATTCTCCATAAATCTGGAAAAAAAACCTGTCAAACAAATATTTTTCCTTCTTAATATACACTCTGTAGTTCTGACAGTAAAAAATGTAGCAATTTACTTTCGTTTTGCAGGACGAACTTTGCAGGGTTAACATGGTTAAGATCAAGCCAAGTTGCCAGCTATTTCTGCTTGATTATAGACAATTTATTACCATTTTTATTTTCTCTGTAAATTAATTCATTAGAATTATAAATGTAAAACTAATTTTTGGATTTTTTTCCCCATGCATTTGTTAGCATTTTATACAAGCGCGTTTTTCCCCGTTTCTAAAAAAAGCGGACTAGCTGACTTCATGTAATAAAACGACAAAAATGTCACTTAAAATCATCATTTTCATGATTAATTTGCATATTTTTATATTATTAGTACATATTTCTGTATAATACATTCTTAAGTAAAACAATCAAACAAAAGACGTCATGTTGCAGATTTTATTTTAAAAATAAAATATGTCAGAAAGGACATAATTTTTATACGATGAAGCCCTGGTCATCATACACCGTCAGCGACGTCTAACCCCAGATACATAGGCCTAATAGAAAATATTTTAATGAATTAATAAAAAAAAAAAAAAAAACGTATTTGCTAACTTTTCATTTAGATGTCCTAAGGTCTTCCTGATCATGGACTACAGTGGCAAACTGGTAAGACAAACTGAATGGGAAATAGAGAGAGAGAGAAAAGGAATAAATTAAAGATTTTTTTTTAACTGTTTGCATTACTTTTAAGTGGATTTTATTTTATCTAAAAAATTAATGTCCGGTAAATTTTACATTTGTCCGGTGAATTTTAAAAATTTACAGGACAATTGTCCGACAGATTTTTGACTAGTTTCGGGAACTCTGCCTACCTAAATGCAAATAAAAAATGTTAATATTCCTACGCTCGCTCCCTCCTCATCTTTTTTTTTTTTTAACATGTTTGATAACAGAGAATATCTAGGTCATTCTTCGGTTGATATTTTTTCACCGATGAATTGATTATGCTATATCAACAACTGTAGTAAAATCATGTTAATTGTTCGTTAATCATTATATAGTTTCCTCTTAGAGAAAAAAAAATCATTCTGTGTGTGTAGCAGATTCCTGCACGTGTGAAGACAAACTACACATAGGGAGAGTACCTATAAAATGTGTAACAAAACCCAAACTAGGCTGAGGATTTCTAAACTGACAGTCGTTTAATTTTTATTAATCAGAATTTGTATTCATGTGATCTAATTATGAAAAAAAAAGTTCTGTCTGCCATCGTAACTTCTCTGTTCGCGGGAGTCCATTTGACAACTCCATCGCACGTGTGTAGACCAAGGCTAACTGCCATGGTCTTGCGGACACAGGTATGTGTAGGCCTACTGTTTGTTAGGAGACTGGGTGACCGTAATGCTACGGACTCACGAAATTTTCACAAGTTCTATAACTAGACAGTGCAGTTTTATTTTTTATAAAAGTCATTAAACACTCTTAATTAAACATATTAAATCTAAAAGTCGAATATCTTTGGATTTGGGGTAACCCATATCTATTCTTGTTATATGTGAAGTAGAGAACAGAGTGGATAAGATGCCCCTGTGATAAATACCAAAATAAAGCAGCAAAAATCAACATTTTTCATTTCAACAGTTCAATGTAGGAAAAATAAGCAATTCTAGATACAACTGAACTCATACCAATGTTAACAGTATTGTATATAGAGACTTATTTAAATAATGTTAAAATTTGTAAACGTCTAGTAAAACCCATGCATTGATTTCGGAATCTCTGAGATTTTTCTGGCAATAGGACTCATTCGTCATATTTATGACGTCAGGTGTCGCTGGTGTACTAGAGGTGGTTACGTAAACGCTTTAATCACCGCGGCGCCTGTAACAATGTAAACAAATGGACGTGTCCTCGAACTTGGAGCCAAACGGAGGGGCTGAATCGATCTTTAATCGAGCTGTCACAACCGGGAGAAAGGTTTATCCGAATCTTGGGTAATTATTGTTTGTAAATAATATACATTTATGGAAACTTTCTAAGAATTATCGAGTGTAACATGCCTATATGACGAAGATAGTACAACGACAAAGCAGTGAGTTTACAATCGACGTTTTTGTAGGTTGTCAGATGTATTATCATCTTTACCACTTACACAAACACTAGATTCAAATGGAATTAGTATATGATACGAATACTCATGGCGATATTTTGGTTTTTTTTTGTTTTTTGGTTTTTTTACATGACAATCATTGCACAGCTAGGTTATGTAGATCTACACTGGTTACATACTGTTAAAAGAGCAACGTCCCAAATGATCATCAGGGTAATTAAGTGCAACGTAATATTCATTGCAAGGCAAATACAAACTAAACATTCATTTTATTTTAGTTCACTTAAAAAATTAATGATAATAAACAAAACTAAAACAATCACAAACATCATATTTCAACCCTCACCAAAAGACTCTCCAGATCCTACATAAAGATACATTAAATGACCATTCATTGATATTGGATAAATATAATTGATTTCCAATCAGCCTCATTTGTTTGTTTTTTTTAAATTAAAAAAAAAATTGAGACTGGTACGCTTAGATGTAAGTCGCCCACATTTCGCAGTGGTTAGAGTGTCTGCCTTGTCTACAGTCGCCAAAGCTAAGAGCTGAACCTAATGTCGCAGGTTCAAATCCACTGCATTACGTGTCCTACAGATGAGACCGTCTAAACCGTGGTCCTGTTTTGCAGTAAGTGTTCGCACTAAAAAGATCCATCCCTGCTCAATGGCCCAGAGTGCCGAGAATAGGTATATTTGCAGTCTGCCATCAGCAAATGATGGTGTCTCCGTATGAGTAAAAAATTCTTAAGAGGGAAATTAGACAACAAACAAACATAGATTTGATATGTGCCCTTGTACTATATAGTGCATATGAATAATTGTGAAATTTATTTGTTCTGTACATATTTTTTTCATAGTCAGTAGCTACTTGTATACTTAGAGCATTACATCTTTGTTATAATAAAGGTAAAAATGAGTACAAATATTTTAAAGTTATCATTTGCTAGGTCCATTTTGTACAGTACCGGTATTTGTGTTTCTATAATGTGACCCTCGACAACTTAGTTTACATTTACAATTTCATTAAGTCGGAAAGATATACTCAGTAATTAAATAAAACCTGCTGCATGTAAAAATAAATAAAAGGAATGTATACATGTAGTAGCTGTTATTGTACAACTAAATACAAAAAACATAATTAATTTTACAGTCCTCTGAAAAAAAGAATTTATTATCAGGACTATGGATTGACCTAACTTAAAGGCTGACTGTATATTTGTTCCTAAATAAAAGCCTATACTGAGTAAATTGGTTATTTTTCAGTTATTTAAGAATATATTTTTTTCATTTCATTTTATTTAGGAGATCAGCAGGTAAAATAAGAAGTCAAAGCTTACAGGGAGCTTTATTATGGCTGGATGGTACATGTTACATAAAAATTCTATTTTTCCCCATCTAATTCATGAAATGGCATCCATCCTATTGTCAGTGCTGTCAGGGAAAAAGATGAACTGGTATGTAATTGCATTTGTATTTTTTTTAATAATAGAAAGTACTCATAAATTACACCTAAGCTAGGCCATCCTTAAAAAATTGTTTGTTTGGAATTGCCACCTGAAGGGTTTCAGACACAGGAGGGAGGGAGGGAAATTACTTTTTTTTTAATTGAAAACCTAATTTTACATAGATCAGACACTATATATCAGTGTTTTGTATGGTGCATGTGATACATGTAATGGGCAAAAAAAAAAATTGATTAAATATAAAAAAATCTTCCTACTTTTGGTCAATAAAATTTTTTCAGGAGGGGGCATTTCAATGAGACGGGAGGCAATTCCAAACAAACTATAATTTTATTTTGGCCTAAGCAATGCTTCAATGCTTCCAATTTTAATTCTTAAAAAAAATGCATTTCCTTTTATTATCACTAGGTGTATTACAACCTAAGACAAAGTGTTGAGATGTTTGGCAGTCCTATACATTCACAGAGAAAATGTTCTGCTGGAAATATGGGGCAACATTCAGCCTGTACACACATAGACTAGGTATGCTCATGCTTGGAAAATTCTCTAATAGAATACCGGTACAATAATCTTGTATGCAGCATCTTCAGGCTTTTCACAAACTTACAATTAAGGATTGATTAAGAATTGTATTTTAATTTGAGAAGTAGATCAATTTTATTTAAAAAATTAAAAATATTTAAAGACAGTTTAATTTACCAAAAAACAAGTGCAGTCATGATAATGCTAATTACTCTATACTAATTGCTACTCATTCTTATTTGAAGGGATTCCACCAAAAACTGAAAGAGAAAAGAAGTTGATGTACTCAAACAATCCCTGGCAAGAGAAATTAATTTGTGAAATGAAAGAATGCACAGACATAACATTTTAATATTTGTTTGTACAAAAATTGACATTGAAAGGAATTTACTGTATGTGTACTTAAAATAGCGAGCTTCATATTTTAGTTGTTTTTGAGCAGACGAGGATGTGCTAATTCATAAATACCACTAAAAATTCATTTATAAATAGAATATACGACACAAATATTTGTAGCATTAATTCAAGATTATGCCAACAACCATATCCATTGATTGCGCTAAATTTTGAAAACACCAAGTTATGTACATGTACAGTATTTTTCCAAAGCTTGAACTTTTTTCTGTTAACGATTTTGCTTATTTTATTCATGGCTGTAAATAAATAAAACAAAAAAGATTGTATTAAATATTTATACATATTTATTCCTTTCGTACTTAAATTTGAGCATGCAAGTACAATATTCTTGGAAATCAATGCTTGTGGATTTGACGAGTCTCTCTTGCCCATGGATTTTGTTAACATATTGATTGAATCTACATTATCAATGAGTTAAAATCCACAAAATTACATACCCATGAACAATTTTTCTTGTCCATGAACATTGAACCCCACAAATTAACTTGATTAAAAAGATTCCACAGAATTCATAATACATGTACAATCATTTTTAATTCTTTTTCAAAGCAAGCAAAAAGATTTTTTTAAATTTTTCTAAAAATTAAATGTGTCAAAAATTCTTAAAACTATATACTTGTGTTCTGAAATTTAAAAAGTAATAGTTGAACATCTTCTAAGCACATCTCACTTAATAGCCTAATCATGCTAATAGCTTCTACAATATGTACCAATATGAGAAAGAATCATTCGGACAGAGTCTTCAACAGCTTAAATGCTTGCATTGAATTTTTCATATCTTTGTTAAAGAATATGGCTGATCTTAAAGAAACATCCGAGTGACTGCTAGTTATCACTGGGGATACTGGTCTAAACTCCATGATGCACACTTTAGTTCACAACTCTTGAGGAACATCTCAGTCTTTGTACATACTTCGTGTCTTGACTGCAGCCACGGAGCTGTTGGACTTGTATTGCTGGAGTTTTAAAGTCCAAAACTGGATGTCAAGTTTACTGCATCCTTTTTTAGTCTACTCTTGTCTCCTGTAAACAAGGAACTGTGCAAATATTATTTTTGTTTTGTTATTGTATTGAGTTAAAGTAGAATATTATATAATCAATATTTATCCAGGGAAAACCAAAGACCCTACTCGTACTAATCAAGCGGGGAAAAATATCTCATTATTTCTGGTGTTGAAATTTAAAATATATAATAAAATTAAACATTGAACTAAAATCATAAATTGCAGTACTTATTCCATTTGCTAACAAATCAAGTTAATTGTATGGGGACATAAACACATCATACACTCTATTTGTACATTTTTAAAAGAAAACTGCCACTGTACATTAAATTAATCAGAATTAATCCTATTACATTTACCAGTGCTGTGTCTGTCTGTTTAACAACAAAATCACAAAGCAACAAAAGCTTTAGACATTTTAATTAAATTTCAAACTTTTGAAATAATATTTTAAATAATATTAATTGCCATGTGTCAAGCTATTAAGACACTATTAATATAAATAGTTCAAATGTCCTTTGATGAAAAAAAAAATTAAAAGGGAGTTCACTTTTTTCCATTTAAGAAAAAGTTAAAAAGTCACAAAGTCAATATGTTTTATACTATATATAGTAACTCATTTTTATAGTTAAATCTATACGATTTAATGACATATACTTCGTAAAATACTAATTAAAATTAATCAAAATCAATATTTTACCAAAAATCTAATCCTTAATATCGCCGACTCCAAAATTCTGGTGACAAGCGACATCGTGTTTACCAAGTCAGCTGATCATCTTCATGACCGATTTAGCGTCACTTTTCGTCTCAAACAAATGTCTGGATCTGAAAATAATGAGTGTCCGCATCCTCTACAACATCCTGGCACACCACAGAGGGTTGACATTCTTTACAAATTAATTAATTTGGAGGTATACGTCCAGGAGAAACCACAGTGTCTCGCCACGCTACCATTTGTTTACTCTCAGTCAAGCGCTTGACAAATTCAAACGTTTGCGTAACCACCTCTAAAACCGCAGCGCCACCCGACGGTTAATGACGTGAATGGATACTATTTTTTGCTGATCATGCTGATGTTGATAATGGCGGATTGGCGTTTATCGGGTTTAAAATGAGGATATATAATAATTATTACCATTATTATAATGCCTCTCTCCGTGCATAACGAAATTCTATTATCTTCACTCCATTTAACGGCATCGTGGCAGAATATTTGGTCGGAAAATTCCACATCAGCAACTCTTTTCTCTTCGCACCTCAACATGGTGAACTAAAACTGGTTCCTACCCGATTACACGAACCAGACAATTTTTGAATTCTTATAAAGAATTTCATTGGTTCTTTCTAACTGGAAAGAGCCAATCCACAAACGCGTAAGAAACAAAGATGATCTCTTAACACGTGGGTTTGTTTATAACTTTGCCAGCGTTTGATTAAGCATGATTATTATGTCTAATGGAGTTTAAATTTAATTTTTCTGATTCCCAAGAGAAGGAGACGGAACTCAATATAGGTTCAAGTATGTAGAAAAGATTAAATCACTTACTGTCTTTAGAATATGACACTAGTTTAAATAATTTATTCAAAGAAATCCAAATTAAGGACTAGCTCAGTTGACATATTTTGCTTTGAAATATGATGATATTGTACATTTGATGCATGTTTTTTTTCTCTCCAGCAAGTGAGGCTCCACCAGAAAGTCAGACAAGTGCACAGGGTGTGGAACAGTTTCAAGAGTTATCTCAAGAGAATTTGGCAAGTAGATTTTGAATTTAAACACTCTTCTTGGAATATTAAAGTTTTTTTTTTTTAAATGATCTTCAAAAGGTATTTTTAACATTCAAGTTATAACGTTTCATTAATGATTTGAGGACAAAAGCATAGGCACTTGGTTTCAGGATGGTGTATTTTGTGTATTATGTGTTTTTCTAGATGTGTTTGAATACTCTCATTAAAAATAAAAATAAAAATTCGCTGAAATTAGCAGGTTTTAAAAATGTCATATTTACTGTATATAAAAAGAGTAAAGAGTAATAAAACATGCAGTAAACCCAAAACGTCCTCTATTCCAAGTGAATAACTCAAAAGCAATGGATCGAAGCGCTGATTTCTGAAGATGAAAAATGTAGAGGCATCCCGGAATTACATGGAAAATCTAGAGACGTCAGAAACCGTGCCAAACTTGTTCATGTTGTTCTCTCTAGATTAAAAACACACATTACACAAAATATACCATCCTGAAACCAGCACCTATGGACAAAAGCACACATTCATGTAAATTATATATTCTTCTCTTGCAGGATTTTAGCATATATTCCAAGTTTCAAAGAAATTCCTATACTTTTAATAAAGTTCATATCAACTGCTATAAAAGTGAAGATATAGAGAAATGGATAGTGAGTAAAAACTCAGACGAATCAATTGTGAAAACAGCAGCAGCCTCACACACTGATCTTGTACCTGATGTTTACGAAGGTAAAAAAAATCTTTCTTATGACAAGGGATCTGGGAGGATCTCATGAGAATATTGGTGTGTTTCCAAATGACCACACACACACATTTAAATACCAAATTGAAAACTACTCCTTTCATAACATCTAAAAATTCTTCTTTTTTTTATTCAGGTGGTTTGACAGTTTGGGAATGTGGGTGTGATCTAGCAGAATTCATTGCTGATGGAGGCCTTGAATTCAAAGAAAAATCAGTTATTGAGGTACGTTTTCCTGCTTTCAATATATATGTTCATGTTTCAAATCCTAGCTTCTTATAAATCTAGAGGATCTGGGAACCATTTTATTCTTTAGGTGATTTTTCACAGTCATATTATTAAAAACGGAAAGTTTTATATGATCTGTTACCACTTCTTGTCTGTAAAGTGGTATCAGATTAAAGAACATATAATTTTAATTACATTGAACAGCTAAGATGAATTTCAAAACCTCACAAAAATTAGTGATTTCAAAGTAATGAAAGGATAAAGCAAAGAAATATTACTGGGAGCAATTTACCAGATATGAATACAAATTATTTACACATGTCATTGTTCTTCCTAATTAAATTTAAATCAGATTTTGTTGACAAGTAAGTCATACATGTATTAGAATTTCAAATACTTATGAATTGTATTTATAATTAAATGCCTTTTTCAAGCTTGGTTGTGGAGCAGGTTTACCTGGGATATGTGCAATGAAACTTGGAGCAAAACAAGTCCACTTCCAAGACTATGCAAGTACATTGTATTAATATCATGTAAATTGTTTCAATAATGACAGATGTCAAATATTTCCAAGAATGTTTTAATATTCATCAAAACACTATTCAAAATATATGTAATTTGCACTGTTTGCTTTCCCCATTTTTCAATGTATGCCAGATAAAATTTATCCAAAAAATCTATCCCCATAAACAAAATTAGAACAGATAATATTTAATTATATGTTTAATTTTATTATTTCAGAATTCAGAAGTAATATCATATTTCACAATTCCAAATGTCTTAGACCTGAACCAGACAGACTCCTGTCAGTGTAGGTTTTTCTCAGGAGACTGGGGAGAATTTCAGATGTATGCCGAAAGTCATCCTGATTTAAAGTAAGTACACTTTCTATTTGAACATAGAAATAAAGGTTGGAAAAGAAATTACTAAATGATAACCATCATACAATGATTAACTCTTTAATCAACTAAGGATGACTGATACCTGAAACATCTAGAAATAATATTACATTACATAAATGATTAGTTATCTCCTCCCCCGGGGACAAGTTTTTTAGGCACTAATAAAATTTAAAAGGTCTGTATAAATCAAATATCAAATTACGGAATGTTTCATATCACAACTGTACTTCAGTCACTAGTAATTAAAGATCAATTGAACTGTCCAATAATCAGTTATTCCCTGCAGAATCCATGGAATCCTGTCTAGTATTGCGGCGTGGTCTTCCAGGCGTCAACATCTCTTTCTTTCCAGTTGCACTGTGTGGCTGAAGACGAGCCAGAGCGCGGGGTAAACGTGTGACCTTCGGTTTGTCTTCATGTTCTGTCGGAGGAGTGACTTCGTCCTTGTCCGTCAATAGTCGTCTTGGCGATAAACGTGACTTAGCGGTTGATTTTGGGGTCACGACCGCAGGTGAGACCTCTCCAGATGTAGCAGGTGAACCATGGTTAACAGGTGGTGGAACAGAAGGGCCATCCATCCTGGGAGTCACATGCGAAGGTTGTGGTGTGCTACATTTCAATGGATTTAGAGTCAGTGTTTTCTGAGTCGAGGATGAACCATCTGTAACAGTCTTTTCTGAAGACTGTGGCATTCTCGGCATCGTTTCAATCGCGCTGGGTGAGTTGCTGTTAAACGGGGTGAATTTCCTCAGATGTTGGCGATTTCTTAGCGTAACCCTTCCTGTGCCATCTACACGTACAACATACTGGTGGTATTGGCGGACCTCAACAACAACTCCCGTACGTTCCCATCTCCTTGGGTGGTTGCCCATTAAATTTTGGATATACACATGGTCTCCAACCTGCAGTGGTGGTAGCTGATGGGTATGCTCATTCCATCTTTCATTCTCTCTTGAGTGGCGTTTGGCAAGAGCTAACTCTCTACTCGACATCAGTTCCTTCCATGTATCATGAGGCGAATATCTACCCATTACGATTGGCATGGCATCTCTGATCGGACGACCAAACAGGATCAAGGCTGGGGATGCCTTCGTCTCTGGATCAATGGAGTTCCTGTATATAAGTAAAGCCCTCTGAAACTTATCCACGTCTAAGGAACCATTGGCTGTGATGTTGTCCGCAAGCATACGTTTTACCATCTTCACCGCAACTTCAGCTCTGCAGCTGGCATGTGGATTTGCAACTGATGAGATTCTATGTCTGACTCCCCAGGCTTTCAGGAATTCCTGTGTCTTTCCAGCTGTATACTGAGGACCTCCATCTGATGTTAATTCCTCTGGGATACCAAATGTGACAAACGTCTCACGAAGGCGCTTCACCAGTCCATCCGCTCCAGACTCCGATCTGTATACCATGGGCCAGTTGGAGTACCTGTCCATGACCACAACATAATCCTTGCTGTTGTAGGTGAAGTAGTCGCTGTAAATCTTCTGGAAAGGATATTCAGGAGGAACTATATCAGTAGGTGGCTGCATGGGGTTTGACTTAGCCATCTGGTGACAATGTCCACACTGGTCCCTCATCCTGGCAATATCCACCGTGATATCTGGCCAATACACTGAGTCCATGGCTCTGGCACGCATCGACGAGACTCCTTGGTGTGCTGCATGAAGTGCATTGAGTACTAGTTTATGTAAGGCAGGTGGAATGACTATACGCTGTCCCAAGAGAACCACACCATCAACAGAGCATAGACTGCCAGAAAAACGATGAAATGGGCACAACTCCAGTGGCAAATCCCTATAATCCTCTGGGAACCCTTCTTCTATCTGCTGAAGCAGGCTAATATACGTAGGATCTGATGCTGTGGCTTCACGTACCATATCCCAAGTTACAACCATGATGTTGGCATTTAATGCAGTTGTAGTGGCAGCAACTGTGGAGGTATCATCAGCTTGATCTCGATCCTCAGTAGATAGGCCAAAACTGGTGGGTGTATCACGACAACTGGCAGAGCAACTGTCAAGGGACTCGTCTACTGTGGCATCGCCAGGTAATACCAGTCGATCTGGGGGGCAAGCTGGATGTCTGGAAGCTGCATCCGGACCAAGGTTCTTCTTCCCAGGTACATGAACCACCGTAAACTTGTATCCAAGGGTCTTTTCTTTCAGGTTAAGGAGACGTCTGTTATCTATCTCAGTGAGTGATCGGTCATTCAATCTCTGGAGTAGTGGTTTATGGTCAGTGGCGACAATGAGATCTTCGCATCCGAGCACATAGTATCTTGTCTGGTGGAGTGCGTACACAACAGCCAAGGCTTTGCCTTCGATTGGAGCGTATCTACTTTCTGCTGGGTGGGTGAATCTACTGCCGACCAAACAAAGCTTCCATCTGTCATTACAGCATGCTGGGGTCTTACTGGCACAGCTGCAATACTTCTGCATCATGAAGAAGCCAATACCATCAATGGACCAGTCTGTGGCTAGACAGGTCATGCGTGCTGGGTCAAACAGACGAACACCTTCCTTCATCTCCTGGATTATGACCTCTTTGGACTTTGTAAATAGTTCATCTAGCTCATCCGTCCAATGGAACGGTGTAGATGGTTTCAATAGAGCTCGGAACGGTTTCATCTGTTTAGTCATGGCAAACGCGTAGGCACCTTGGTTGACCAATCCAAACCATGCTCTTGCACCGGTAATGTTGGATGGTGTGGGAAAGTTGCTGATTGCATCTAGGAACTTCGTGCTTGGTCGTATATTTGTAGGAGTAATTGTGAGTCCAGCAAAATCTACAATATCTTGAGCAAACTGGAACTTCTTCGGGTTGAGGGTAATACCATTCCGAGCACAGAGGTCTAACCATTCGCACGTCTGGAAGAATGCTGCTTTAACAGAATCTGCCCACATACAAGTGTCATCCATGCATTTGACCTTGTTCTTGAAGTCCGTAATGACAGCATCAAATCGTTGGTTGTAAGCATCTCCGCTGGCCATGAATCCCTGTGGAGCTACCTTGTATCTGTACCGTCCCCATGGTGTGATAAAAGTGGTAAAGTGACGGTCCTCCTCTCGAATAGGTACAGAGTGGTATCCATTCCAAGCGTCAGTAACGGTCTTCTTCATACCTTGAGGTACCCTGTCTGCTAGATGAAACGGACTCGGTACATGATGGGTCTGGCGTACGGAGTGACGGTTTTGTGGTTGAAGATCTACCGTCCTTCTGGGAGTACCATCAGCTTTACCTGTAACTACCATCCTGGAACACCAAGTTGTAGGGGTATTCTGGCTAACTTTCTCCAAGACTCCAATCCTTACGTCTCTCTCCAGGTCAGCATAGACTTTATCCTGCCAATGGATGGGTACCAGTGCTGGCTTGTGAACAGCAACTGGTCTGGCATCAGGATCTATGTGAAGCTTAAGGGGCTCACAGTTCATCAGCGGTAAAGGTTGATGTTCACATACATTAAAAGTTGTAGCACCGTAGTAATCAAGTAGCCATTCCTTTAATACATCCACATTTTCTTCAGTAGCGTCCAAGCCTGGTGGTAGTGTTGTTGGTAGTGGAGGTGGATTAGGCTGACGTCTGGGACAGGAGCAGGTAGTCTCATTTTCTACAGAAGCAAAACTCTCTGATGTGTCTACGGGATGGTTTGGGAATTCTGCATGAATTATTCCAAGAGAAACCAAAGCCTCCCTGCAGATGAAAGCTTTTTCCATGACATCAGATACATAACATAATATGCGTGTAGATTTGGAACCATCTCTGACCCTCACATCAACTGCAACCGCTCCAATAACCCCAAGGTTTTCTTTGATGGCACCTCGCACAACGAGCTTTACTGGAATTAGGTCCTTTCTGGTAATTCCCAGGTTGTTGGCTGTCTGTAATGGGATAATCGTACTCTGGCATCCGGTGTCAGCTACCATGGTCACTTGTATTGTTTTGAGCTTTGTAACATCTTTGATGGGATGTCCAAATGACGCATGGTCCTCGGCCAAAGGTGTCATATTAACCAGTAGCATCGGATGAGGTTTGGACGGCCTAGCTATCCATTTTCCTTCGAAGATGTGATGTTCAAGACGTGCTGTATTCTGATATTGTTCTGATGTGGTACATAGCTGGTCGTAGACATAACCAACCTTGTCGTCAGCATCTTTCGTCGGTTCCTGTGATGGTCCCTGATTGCGGAGTTTCTGTCCTCGTCCCTGTGTACAAGCCCTTGACGATGAATCACGATGTCCCCAGGCACCACACGTTGAACACTTGCTGCATGACTTGGTATAATAACCCTTAACTTTACACTTGGCACATGTAGATGTCCAGGCCTCACAACTTCTTTGTCTGGCTCGACGATCGTTTCTTTGTCCGTGGGCAGGGCCACCACATGCCCAGCACTTGCCTCCAGGTCCTTGTACTGATTTTTGGCTATGGGTCGTAGTCGACATCGCACCGGCTGAATCTCCAACTGCACTCCGTGTAACTTTGCCTTGTTCCTTCTGTGCTATGAAGGAAACAGTCTCTTCCAAGGTTCTGTCTGTCTTAGGATCACCAAGCAGGTCAGACAAAATTTCAGGGTCTGCAATTCCTCTAACCAGATTGTCCTTTATGATCTCATCACTGTAGTCGTAAATGTGGTTACATCCTTCCTCCTTGCATGTGGCCTTGTACTGACAGAGTGACGCCTGACCTCGGAGACTGGCTAAAAACGTTCTGATGCTGGTACCAGGTGCTTGTGTCATCTTACTGAGCTTAATGCGTTGTACCAATGTGCTCTCATCCTTCACAGCAAGCCGTTTAATGACATTCATCAGGTCTGCCTCTGGCATGTCTGTGATGTTACCTCGTTGGTCACGCATGACGTCGGTCCGAAGGTCTGAGTCACAGCAGTAGAACAGAGCAGTGGGTATGACGTTTTGGGCAATGGCCATACCCACCTTGTACATCTCCCATTGTCGAGTGAACGCTGACCACTGGTCTGGGTCACATCCAGCAGCTATGGTGGGTGGGTCCAACTTCAGTTTGGGAGCTGCGGCAGCTGCTGGCTGGGCCTGTGGCTGGTGAACAGTTCTATCATGGATCTGGAGGGCTGCCGTCATCGCTGCGGCAAAAGCTGCATCCAGGTCCTGAGACTGAGATCACATCCAAATACAGGGCACTCTAACGTTGGCATGTTGGGGAGTATAGATCGTCTTTTGTACCAAAATTGTCAATAATTGATTAATTTCTGTTAATTTCTTGTTCTGGAGGCCTGTTTTTCGTCAAATTGTGTAGAACTGGTATCAGTCATAAATGATAACCATCATCCAATGAGTAACTCTTTAATTAACTAAGGATGGCTGATACCTGAAACATATAGAAATAATATTACATTACATAAATGATTAGTTAATTACATTCAAATGTGTTGTGTTACTTTTAAAGTGATCTGGCTGTTACTGGTATTGAAGATGTTAAACTTTGTATACTTATAACTTTGTGGGTAATAATATATAAATGGTGCCTGTTTTGGAGGGTAACAGTTGAAATTGACACCCCAAGGAAAACCATTGTCAACCAACGCGTCAGCGGAGGTTGACAATGGTTTTCCGAGGGGTGTCAATTTCAACTATTACCCTCCAAAACAGGCACCATTTATTTTATTATACTGAATGTCTTCTTGATTTACTATGTCATCAATACAAATCGTCGATCGCCTTTTCGTTCACGTTTAGAAAGCTTTCAAACTCCCCGCTACTTCAAAAAAGATTTACTGACCTCTTTATTGTTTATTTGATACTCTATGAGTACTTTATCATCTAAAGTTTCGTTATTTCTGCACTCGCAAGCATGTTTCGTCTGTCGTTTGTTGTTTTCAAGTAAGCTACATCGGACGCAAGCTTTTATTGACGTCAAGTATATTCCGGTTCTTTCAAACGCGCAACTGATGTTTTGAGAATTCTACGGTGAACTGTACGCGCATAATTTCCACGCATGTGGCATTACCGTTGTGTTACCCGTTGTCACGTGTGTTGCTAAGGCTGAGGGTAGTAGAACAGATTGTTAACTGCGTCTAAATTAATCAGATTTTAGTATTTAACATGAAAGTATAATAATTTCTGTTGACACATTGCAAGTTTCACATGCATTTCATTTACTGTCAAATCATTAATTTTCATGGGGGTTTAATTTTCGTTGTTTTCGAGGTATTGAAAAAACCTTCAAATTTATTACCACGTTTTTTTTTTCATATGCATTACGACTAAACATTTTCCAACCACGAAATCAAATCCCAAAAATACCAATATTTTTTCCTCAAACTTCAAAACTTTGAGCCCATGAAAATATGTGATTTTACAGTATGTTTTGATTTTTCTTTCAGATTTGATTTCATTTTAACAGCAGAAACAATTTATAATGTGGATAATTATCACAAGCTACATAGATTATTTCAACAACTGCTCAAAGATGATGGTAAAATGTATCCTTCACAGAATTATACACTGCTGCACTATTTTCAATGGACTACCAATACATGTTGACTTGACTGACCCGTGCAGTTACCTTTCTTTAAAACTATCATTTATACAATTCTAATAACTTTTTGGTTTATATGACAGTCCAAAGAAAAAGTCAACAGCTGATCGTATGAGCTTTGTGGATGATTCTTTTGTGTAGAGATTGAATGTGATGAATACTTCAATACAGATGATTCTAAAAGAATTTTTTTTTTTACTGAATCTGCCACCTACATTTTTTTAAAGAAATATTTAAAAATCATTTTATGTCCATGTCCCATCAAATATGCAATGCCATGCATAGGTAATAAGAATATGCTTTATTCAATTAAAAAAAAGGCCTCGGAACCTAGCTGTCATGAATATTCACTCAAAAAAAATATTACTTACTTTTACTCAAATCAAGTAAACGAATTACTTATTTTAAGTAATTTTTAAGTAAAAAAGTTTGTCACCATAGCAATCATGATAAGTAATTTATAATATATTAGTAATTTTTAATACAATTTTATAGAAATATTTAAAAATAAACATTTTATGTCCATGTCCTTATATTTTCATTAATTATTTTTAATAGTTTACCTAAAACATTTATATTAGGTCACTTTAAACGATGTAAGTTGGGATATTTATATATCTTAACGAATAAGGCATTTAACTGTAACAAAAATGTTTAGAAACATTTAATTAATATTTTGAATATGGCAAGTAAATTATTTTTTAAAATTCTTAAATTAATTTTTTGAATGAAAAATAAAGTAATTAATTTACTTACAATAAGGAATTTTAAGTAATTCGTGAATTACTAGTAATCCTTAGTAATACTCAATCATAGTCAGTAATCAACAATTATCTTAAGTAATCAGATTACTTAAAATAAGTAAAAAAAAATTACTAAGCAATTTTTTATTTTGAGTGTTTCCTAAGACTAACACTAGGTCTATGATGAGTTATCTCCCTTTCACTATCTACAAATTCACTATAGGTAATTAGAAACAAGTTTGGAATTTGAATTTGGATGTAAATATGACTAAATATCCTTATCAGTACTCAGATTAGTAGCTGCCAAGTCCAATTACTATGGAGTGGGAGGAGGGACAGGGTTATTTGAGGATTTTGTGGCTAAAGAGGGATACTTCACTTACAAGTCTGTCAAAACTATAGAAGCTAGTAAGTAACAATACAAATACAGTAATCAGTTATCAAGATGGCTATAGAACAGATATATCAGACACAATATGGATTAATTTCCTTGCATAAAGTAACACTGCTTGATGTTTTTTTTTTAGGTGTACCACGAGAAATCATTATGCTGGAGAAATTGCTGTGATGGACTTTGTGTATCATCTATTTGATACAGGAGCTGTAGACTCTCAAATTAATATTGATAAAAAAAATAATTTTTTAAGAAAATTGATGTCTGGATTTTATAAAATCTGTGTTGCGCCAGTTACTTACTTTTGTGCAACAGTAAACTTTCAAACAATTAAATTATGAAGTCATTTATAACCTTTATTTTCAATATATTCATAATTATGCAAACTTTAGTGAGCTTTTAAGCATGTGAAGAAAATATACTGAAATTTGTAAATGTTTCACATTCAGCATTATAAAATAAATAAGCTCTGCAATACTTTGTCAATAACAACAGAAGAACTATATCACAAGTCTTGCAAACATGCAAACTAAAAAGTATATACATGTGACAGCATTATTTTTTCTTGTTTCACTTTATCATTTCTCATGTATATTGTACCAGTATTGTCTCCTTCCATGTCCTTAAAGCATAGCAAAATATTTTTGTTGCACTCTTTTCAAATACTCTTGGTTTTAAAAAAATGCACTAGAGTGAATCAAGACACAATTTTCCTGATAATTTAACATTGTCACATGACCAGTCCCTTAGAACACAGTTAATAATGCAAAAACTCCATAAACGAGTCCACAGGGATAGGCCACCAGAGGCTGCTGATTCTCCATTGACAGGGCGGACACAAATAGCTTAGAGGAGGAGAAACTGCACCATAGCACGGCCACTACCGTCAGTATAATACCCAGCATCCCCCTGTAAAGACACAAAAGTCATACATTTATATCATGGTATATGTATAACCCATACATATTTCTATTGCTTTCTATTATTGGCAAAAATTGTAATGTATTTGACTATTTAATGATTATTTTAAAAAATCATCACTGAAAAATAATTTATAAATAAAATATAATAGTTGTTTTTCAAGTCCATGTAAATTTGACGTAGAGTTACACCTTGATGTTTTTACAACTCCTGGATATTGATATAAGCCTGGTATTTATACCTAGTGGAGTTTCTGGATACTTACTTGAGGGAGAGAAGTACAGCGGAGAAGGACAGGATGACCATTGGTAGGAGACAGTAGCCCAGTACACTGATGATACAGCCCACCGATACCCCCGTGATGCTCATCATGTTAAGCAGGAAATACATGGCAACACAGCCCACCACACCAATTCCATAGATGTATCCAAAATGCAGCTTACCACTCTGTCAACACAGAAATAAACATACGGTCAACAGAGAAATAACTGCACAGGATTAAGGCATTAGCACCAAAATAGGTTCTTTTATCTCTTACATATATAAATAATTTTTTGTATTGTATATAGAGAAAGGGATGTTATTTAAATCAGAGATTACAGAGAAGTAATTGGTGAAGTCATCAAGTTTAATTAAACTGACAGTTGATTTGAAGTTGAAATAATAAATGTGCAAGCATCATGCCATGTTGCATTTTTTGTGCAACTGTTAAGCAATGCAATTATACAATGATGTAAGAAAGCAATTAGGATTGTAAATGTACCAGCATCAAGGATGCTCCAAAGGCCAGACAGAATACTAGGGGTCCAGCTAAATCTGTATCCTGCATCATGTCATGTTCAGCTGCCTTGAATGGGTTCAGAACCGCCAGTGTCTGTAAAATAAACCAGAGGTAAAATTAGAGTTATCTCCCTTTAATCACAGTTTTTAAAAACTCTTTTTGAACAATGTGGTACATATTTTTTTATGCATGCAAAACAAAAATGCCATTTTACATTAGTGCAGTCCGCTGCACTTGCCAATGCATGCATGAATTTAAAAAAATTCCACTCTGAGATTAGATTGACATTTTTATATCAATAGCTAGATTAACAAGGGCCTCTCAATTGTAATCTTTGTCAAGTCATTAATATTTCTGGCTCAAGAGGAGATAACATAAAATTCTCTTATTCTCCAAACTGCCAAATGTGAGATGATAAAGCAAATTACATTGGCTGTCAGTTGATCCCCAGTATTGCTCTGACCAATCGAATCTTAAAATGTCAGATTTGGCTGCATAATAAATCAAAGTTTTACAACATTGATTTGAATTTTATAATGATTAGGATAAAAGTGTGTGGCATGAAAAGTTCACCTCTGAAGCCATTATAGTTAGATGGATTACAAATTAAATATCATAAAAGTATTAATGGTTTTACAGTGTTCAATGGGCCCCACATTAGCTCCTGCTGATGGCAAATATTTGTTTACGTCTTGATTTCCAGTAATGGGCTGGAATTATAGAGTGGAATTTTATGTGGGAATGGGTTGGTCATAAATACATGAATTCAATCTTTAAAATATATTTAATAAACATGTTTTGATTACATTTTTAACATTTAAAAATTACCACTTTGATGTATTAAATATATCCTAGTTTAATTAAGTATAATTAAGGCTATCTAAATTTAATTCCTTGGTTCTCAGGCCAATTTTCTCCAAATCAGATGCGGGAGGGCGGCATTTTATTTTTCATTTTATTGGCAATAAGGTAGATGAGGGAGGTATTTTTTTTAATTTTAATTTCCGAATTTTCTTTAACATAAAGATAATTTTTTTAATCACAGATATACTTTCCATTTCTGGTCAAAATTTCTGCTTTATCCATTGCTTAACAGCGTGTAAACATCGTAGGTAATGTCCTCGAATGTATTTTCAAACGAAGTAGCCAAAATCTCATTGAAAATTACCGGAAGTGATATTTGAAAACTAAACTACGAAACAAATGAGGTCGAAATTTTTTTTTTCCCGGATTGGTCTCCGCAACACCAACTTTTTATTTTATCAAAAATACAAAAAAATCGGCAATGCGGCTACCTCAAAACGGATGCGGGCGGGCCTGAGAACCAAGATTTCAATTTTATTTGGCCTAAATTGTCAATTTATATAGGACCATGAACTTCTTTAGTATTTGATCTCTTCAAATTTTATCTTTCTTTTATTTACTTTGTTTAATTCTATCTTTTTAAATAATGGTAATTCAGTTTAATTCTATCTTTTTAAATAATGTTAATTTAGTTTAAGTGGTATGAAAATAAGATAATGACAAATTTTTAAACTTATAATACCAAATGCAATTAGAAAGAATGTAGATTTTGCCAATGTCTTACACAGGTAATAAATTTCCTGGTAGCCCAGGTTCTCCCAGATAAAATAGTATTTATTTAGCATATGAAATTATGAATACACATTTGAAGACACTGTCACCAGTGTAATGTGACATGTCTCACTAGCTGTCATTCCTTATAAAGTAGGATCTGGTGTGCGTCTGTTGCCTACATTCATTTGTGTGAACTGTTGGTCACATGATCATTTTCTAGCTGTCTTCTGCTAAGATCAATAAAGTTATTTGTCTCACATTTTACACCAAACAGAAAAAAGCTAACTATTATCTCTCGAGTCACAGGCCAAAATACCAACACACACACTGTGTCTGGTATCTCACTGACTTGTTACATGATAAATGGAAAATAATGATTTAAATATCTGTCAATTGTTTGGTTTTGGAATTTGTAGGAGAAAGAAGACATAATGATTAGATAAGCCTAAAATCCACAAACGCTAGTCGATGACAGTTCAGAGACCCGCTGGTGTGCTCTTTACCGCTTCTTCTATCGGAGGAAACCAGAGACACTGGTATGTATAAACTTATTATTCACTATCTGTTATCACCAGCAAACATCAAAAGATTACAACAAAACAGTCAATAGTTCAGGTGTCATTTGTGGTTAGATGATCCTCACACAACACTGACCAGGATCTGATGGCTCTGTCAGTCTGGGATCAGCAGTTAGTATCATTGCAGCCATCTCTTTATCAGAGCCATCTAGAAAACACTTCTCATCAGCTAAGAATCTATTGGACATGATAGAAGCTTCATTCATTGAGTTTTATATTCAATTTTAAGGAGCCCCCTCTCTCTCTTTCTCTCTCTTTCTATTCATATTGAATGTATTTTTTTTCACCATGGATTTTTCGATCACTACTGAATGTTTAAGCATTTGGTCAATTTTTTCCTCGCATTAAAAGTAGGGAATTTCTTCCCCACTTTACGGAGGCATTCCAAATCTAAACATCTGACCTGCCAAATGGTACACAGAACTAACATCAAACATTAAAATTCTATAGTAAGGATGGTAGGGTTTGCTATTACTGAACGATCCAAGTTTACACAGTCAATATCTTCACAATAACAGCATTCAATTTAACGCTGGCCTGAAATATAACTTGGAATTGGAGTGTTTGGGATTTTCTTGTCCAGGTGTGAAAATATTTTTAATCTCAACAAAATAAGTGAAGGCCTCTAAAGTTTTAGCCAACATAATTGTCAAAAATTTATAAATTAAAATTCTAATCAGGAATGTCCATGTCCCTAAATATTGAAATTGAGGGGGATATTAAACAAGAGGCCCACGGGCCTTATAGGTCACCTGAGTATCATGTAACAACTTTCCAGCAATTGTATTTGGTTCGTGTTTTAAGCCAAAAGCCATGAAATTCACGAATTTTGAAAGAGGCACCATTGCTTATCAAAGAGCAGATTTCAAAGCATTAATTTATTTTTAGTCAAAGTACCCCCTTGGTACCCCTGACCCAGCAGCCCTGAAATTATCTATTTTGAAAGAGGACCCTTTCTTCATTATAAGGCCAGCATTTTTTTTTTTATGTTTAGGTTTAGTTATGAACATGAAAATAAAAAAGTCCCGAAGGAAAAGGAAATAAATTTTTTTGATAAATCAATTATTTACATTTGTACATTCTTTTTTTTATGCTATCCTAATAGGTTCCTTACCACTGGACACATAATGCTTACAAATAGGAAAGTAGAATATTTAATTGCTTATTTGAAGTTATTTCATCATCTGCCAGTTTGGGCCAGTAATATAAATTTTGTGATGTTGATCAAAATATATTTTTAAAAAATCAATCCTTTAAAAGTCTTTCAATACATCTTCATTTTCTTAATATGTGTTAGGTGAATGTGTAGACATTGTTCTAAAATTTACTTGATGCCGAAAATTATAATTCCTATCATAAAACAGACAGGAAGTATTGGGGAGTAGGGTCAACATTTTTTCAATTAAGAATAAAATAATTTTTCTGGCTGATACAAATGTGATACTACATATATTTGTATATTCTTGCCTTTTAATAGTTAATTACATCTAATGCATAAGCAACCATTTTCTGAATAATGATGCTTAGACTGTAAGCTATAACAGAGATCTAAACAATGTCCCTGGCAATATGCAATAGCCAGGTCCAGCACAATACCCCGATAAAGGTATATAGCTTGATAAAGCTATATAGCTTTATCAAGGTATTTAAAATACCTTGATCAAGGTATTTTATGTAATGAAAATTCAAAAAAAAAATCTTTAAAAATTAATTACTGAAAGTCGAGTTCTGAGTTGTTGTCAGTAAATTCACCCATGCATGTAAAGTACTCAAACAAAAACAAATCAGTATAAAAACGTGTCGTAAGAGGAGACATTATTTTATGCTTTCTTTTTGATACCAGAGTGTTTTTCATGCACGCATAGACACATTGTCAAAAACTCAGAACTCGACTTTCAGTAATTAATTTTTAAAGAATTTTTTTGAATTTTCATTACATAAAATACCTTGATCAAGGTATTTTAAATACCTTGATAAAGCTATATAGCTTTATCAAGCTTTATACCTTTATCGGGGTATTGTGCTGGACCTGATAGCTACCACGGGCAGTTTAAAACCTGGGGGAGGAAAATAATTTACAGTTACTTTTGAAACGAATACATAATTATCTCACCAGCATGTCATTGTGCAACAAAGTCGTCAGCATTTTATTTTTCCTTTGAACGGGTGAAACGTTTTGAATGGCACTCTTATCGATGAATTTTACATTAAACCATGCAAAATTCTTGGATCTAGCTTTATTTACCCGCCCTTTCATCCAAAACCCGGAAGTGCAAGTTCGTAAATTTGAAATCTCGATCCCGACTCAAATTTGACATCAGAAAGAAAAAAATTGTTTTATTTTTTTCTAAAAGTTCAAAACCTTGAGCGGAGGGTTTGTAAAACTGAAAATAAAATAAATCCTGGCCTTATATATGTAATTAGATCATTAACATATTAACCAAGAGCAAAGGATAAGATGTTCAAAGAATTCATACATTTCACTATATAATCATTAGAGCCCCACCCTAAAACAAGAACCCCTGACCCTGGGGCCATAACATTCACAATTTTGGTAGAGGCACTCTTGCTTATCATAACTATGTACTTAGTTAGTTTATTTAATACCCAGGAGCAGAGAACAAGATTTTCAAAGAATTAATGTATTTTCACTATATTATCAATAGAGCCCCACCCTAACACCAGAACCCCTGACCCTGGGGCCATAAAATTCACAATTTTAGTAGAGGCACTCTTGCTCATCATAACTATGTACTTAGTTGGTTTATTTAATACCCACGAGCAGAGAAGAAGATTTTCAAAGAAATAATGCATTTTCACTACCTACTTATTTAGCCCCGCCCTAGCACTAGAACCCCTGACCCCAGGGCCATGAATTTCACAATTTTGGTAGAGGACTCATTGCTGATTACAATCATGCAAACAGTTTGACTGCTT